TCTTGGTGGCAGCCAAATTTTTCCATCTTGTTTCTTCTGACATTTGGGAACGGGGCTGGTAAAGTGGGGGCACAGTCCCAGAACCTCTGCAATCACCTTAATCACCGTGGTTCCAACAAGTACCATTAACTAAGTCTATCTCCTACAGCTGTTGGTCCTGTGAGCCAAAGTGGAATCCAAGGAGGTGCTGCAAACTAAGAGTGTGGGCGTGGCCTAAGTTCTTCCAAGCCATTGGCTGGTGAGATAGATTAAAATGGAAAGGGATGGTGCCAGCCTCCTTCACACATTCCCCCCACCCCACCCCACACACCCCTCAGGCTAGAATGGATACATGATATCACAGTGCTCTGGCAGCCTCTAATATATAATTTGGCTAATCTGCCACCCAGATCCGTTCCTGGCAAAGTAACTGGCCACTCTCAGGCCACAGCCTTCAATCTTCCTGTGTTGCAGCCCCTCAGCATGCCTAGATACACCCCAGGATTAAGACTACGTGGAGAAAGGGAAAATGGTCCACTATTCTCTAGTATTCTTAGGATGTGTTGAAGTTTATTCTTTCATGGTTGCTGTGTTACCAATCTCCTTTTTCTGTCCATCACCATGTCTCTTTATTTGGCATTAGGGGGCAAGTGGTCAGATCTAACTTGGGTCCTGAAATTTTGGGCCTGGGGCGGAAAAACTCCACTCTGTGAGCATACGAACCCCACCTTTTCTTGCACCTCATCCTACTAGGAGCTAGGGAGTTGGGCTAGGATTGCACAGGCTGATAATCACAGTTCATTTCTCCACCTCCAAATCTCCTTCCCCCCTCAGAACCCTGTTGTCCTAACCTGTAGACATGCCTACACCCTACACCCCCAGAGACAGATTTGAGGGTCCCAGGCACACACACCCCCACCATGGCTACCTTGTGAATCTAGAGACCTTGTGTCAAGAGATTCTAGAGAATCCCAGCTCTTGAGAAGGAACTAGAAAGTCATGAAGTGGGGAAGGCAACTGCTTAGAAGCGGTGGAAGGTGGGGTTCCAGCAATAGAGAAGGCAAGGCGCGTGGCCAGTGGAGGATGCAGGCAGTTTAAAGGCCCAGAGCTCTAGATGGTAGGAGGGGTCTGGACCAGGGCTAGCATTCCTTGGTCAGGTCTGGCTCATTCCTGACTCTCCTTTCCCTCCATTTGCTTTATTCTGGATTCTGTTTTGTCCAACAGTTCAATTACCCTTGTTGCTAAGAATGTGACTTTGGCAGGGATGTTTTGAGTCTCACTCAGATGGGTTGAGAACAGAGATGCCTGTGAAGGAACTGAGCCCTGAGGTTGAGGGTGGCATGTCATGGCCCTCATTAGTGAAGAGGAGGTATGTGGCTGCAGGCAGCTTGCTAGGTGAGCTTTGTAACTTAGCCTGGACTTTGTCTACGAATATCAGCTCACAATTTCAAGTTATTTGTGTATGTGTGCACTGCTAGTACTGGGACTTGAACTCAGGGCCTTTAGCTCTTCTTTGGCATTTTCACTCAAGGCTGGCACCCTAACACTTTAGCCACACCTTCACTTTTGGCATTTTGCTGGTTAACTGGAGACTAGGAAGTCTCATGATTTTTTGTGCCCACCATAGCTTTGAACTGAGCTTCTCATATCTCAGCCTCCTGAGTAGCTAGGATGACAGGCATTAAGTCACCAGAACCTAGCTCAGATTTCAAGTTATTAAGAAGAAAAATTCAGTTGCTATTATTATGGAGAGGAAGAATGGTATGGGATACAGAGTAAAGGACAGAATAACATATGTTTGTTTCCAGGAATCAGGAGCATCCAAGGCAAGTCAACATGAGATACACCTACCATTGGGAACAGAGAAATTGAGCCTTGGTCTCTCAATGAAATGCGAAACTTTCAGAGCACTCAGTGTGGCCTGGGAGCCTCCACGCAGGAGGTGGGATGTGGACAGATGCTACCTTACCACAATCTTGTCATGCACCCTGTCATTTCCAGGAGCAGCTCATGAGATCCCTGGGAAATGCTTCATTGTAAACTACCTCAAAGCTCCTGTCCTAAAATACTAGGATTTTATAGGAACTCTAGATTTTATTTTTTTAATGCCAGTCCTGAGGAATCAACTCAGGACCTGGACACTGTCCCTTAGCTTTTATAAGGCTAGAACTCTACCACACGAACCATAACTCCACTGCTGCCTTTTTTTGGTAGTTAGGTGGAAATAAGAATTTCACAAACTTTCCTGCCTGGGCTGGCTTCAAACCACCATCCTCAGATCCTATCTGCCTGAGTAGCTAGAATAGCAGGTGTGAGCCACCAGCACCTAGCATAACTCTGGATTTTGAGAGACAAATTCATGTGGAGAAGATGCATGTTCTTTCTGCCTTTCAAACACATAAATCCAGATCTTACCATTTATTGTCAGGGACTGAGAAAGGAGATGAAGTTCAAGTTCATCCTACTCTACCTATTAGCTGATCACAGTTCCAAAAGTACCCCTCATGGTTCAATCCACTGAATTCCTTTGTCTCCTTAATGTATATTTGGGACCTAATTGAAGATCACATTTTTTTCCTCTTTTTTGCTAACTGTGCTTCATAAATAAAGCAAGGAAGCATGTATCAATGAAATGGAAGAGTTCGCGGGAGGATAATTCAGTGATGTAAGGTGCACATGGACTGCACTATAGAACTGGTAGCCAGAACTGAGAGACTGGAAAGGATGTAAGAAATCTCTATGCATTCATATAGTCCTAACTGTAAACAAGGCTGTTATTAAGTCATTTCAGGAACAGATCCCACAGTAACTTTCTTTAAAAAGTAGATGAATAGCCAAGCATTAGTGGCTCATGCTTGTAATCTTAACTGCTTAGGAAACTGAGATCTGGAGAATTGTGGCTTAAGGCCAGTCCAAAATAAGCAGCAAAAAGCTATTCTGTAGGAGTGGCTCAACTGGTAAAGCACCAACTAGTAAGTGCTGCATATACAGGAGTGAATCTCCATGGAGCAAACCTTTTAAACAATTAACAGTTTAACAAAATGAGCATCAAGAAATTGAACATGATGGTAAGAAGAGTAGCAGTGGGGGTGTGTGTGGATGAATGGAAAAGAGAATAGGACATACATAGCCAGAATACTCAATGTGCATGTGTGATAAAGGAAGTGGGCAATGAAATGAGCCTGGAGAAGGGAGCAGACAGGAAGGAGGATGGCGGGAGGAGGGACTCTGAACAGGAAGCACTGGACACTTAAGAGGGACATGTGAAATTGTAACCCCTTTGTTTACAATCTTCTGAATTAAACAAAATACAAAATTAAACAAAAAGCAAGAACTCAGTGAAAAAAAATGGGCAAAGTATTTGAACAGATTTTTCTCCATGGATGATACACAAATGGCCAATAAGCACACTAAATGATACCCAGTATCATTTGGTCAATAGGCAAATTCAATAAAAAGATCACAGTAAAATACCACTTCACACCTTGTTCAATGGCAATAATGAAATTAATTAGCAATCATACAGAGAACACTTCCGCACACTGTAGGACTCTAAAATGGTGTGAGTGTTTTGGAAGGGGCCCTGACAGCTCCTCCACAGGTTAAACAGAAAGCCTGTGAGCTGCAATTCCACCTCTGCAAACACAATAACACATCTGCATAAAAACCAGTATAGACTGTTTATAGCAACATTATTCATAATAGCCCAAAAGCAGAAACAAACTGAACATTCACCAGCTGATGAATACGTAAATAAAGTGTGGCATATTCACATAATAGAATATTATGTGGCAATGAAAAACAAATAGTAACAGATGAGCCTTGAAAATACTGTGTCTTGGGCTGGAAAGGTGGCTCAGTGGTAGAGCGCTTGCCTTGCATGCATGAGGCCCTGGGTTCGATTCCTCAGCACCACATAAGCAGAAAAAAAAAAAAAAGCCGGAAGTGGCGCTGTGGCTCAAGTGGTAGAATGCTAGCCTTGACCTGAAGAGCTGAGGGACAGTGCCCAGGCCCAGAGTTCAGGTCCCACGACTGGACCCCAAAAAAGAAAAAGAAAATACTGTGTCTAGAAAACTACAGTTATAAGTGATCCATATGGCATGACTCCATGTATATGAAATGCCCAGATCAACACTGACAGAAAAGGAATTTGGACTAATGGTTGCTGAGGGCTGGCTCCAGGAAGGAGGGACCAGGTTGTGACTGCTCATAGGGATAGGCTTTCTTTCTGGGGTGCTTGAATAAGAGATTCACTGAAAATCATTGAGGTATTCAGTTTAAGAGGGAGATTGCATAGGCTGTGAAGTTCATCTCAATAAAAGTATTATTTAAAAAGTAATCTCATGAAGTTGGATGTCAGTGCCTCATGCCTGTAATCCCAACTACTCAGGAGGCTGAGAACTGAGGATCACAATTCAAAGCCAGCTTGGGCAGGGAAGTCTGTGAGACTCTTATCTCCAATGAATCGCTATGAAGAAACAGAATTGGAACTGTGGCTCAAGTGGTAGAGCATTGGCCTCAAGCAAAAGAAGCCCAAGGACAGTGCCTAGGTCCTGAGTTCAAGCCCTATAACTAGCACACACACACACACACACACACACACACACACACACACACACACACACACAAGCACACACTCATAATCTCATGGGCTAAAAAATTAAGACTGCCGGAAATAAGAATTTAAATATAACCCATGACAAAAATAATAATGATATCTACTTTGCTTTGTTTATAAATGACGTAGTTTACTATCTGCCATTAAATAAATCAAACCACAAACCTCCGGCGTGGGAAAGAGACTGGCAGAAAACTGGTGCCCTGGAAAAATCAATCCCACCACAATGGACTCCAACATTCTCAGCAACGGACTTAGATGAAACCAGTCCATAACCTAACACTGGCTGAGCACCCTTACTGCCTCCCAGGGAATGAGGCTTCACCTTGTTCTCTCACTGGCCAATAAAAATATCTGCAGCAAGATCGTCATCCAAAAGTTTACACCAAAGCCAAAATGGTACCTGTGAGCTTTCAGGATCCTCTGGACAATGGCATCGCCCACCTTGTTGAAGACAACCTTGTCATCAGCGCAGCTTATGAAAAACTGGTTCTACAAGGAAATCACAGCACAATCCTGTAAGGCTCTCTTTCCTTAGTGGTGTATCAGAAGACACTGCTAAGTAACAGCAACATCAAAAAACCTACATTGCTGGGCTGGGAAGGTGGCTCAGTGGTAGAGCGCTTGCCTTGCATGCCTGAGGTCCTGGGTTCGATTCCTCAACACCACATAAGCAAAAAGAAAAAAGCCGGAAGTGGCGCTGTGGCTCAAGTGGTAGAGCGCTAGCCTTGAGCTGAAGAGCTGAGGGACAGCGCCCAGGCCCAGACTTCAGGCCCCACAACCGGACCCAAAAAAAAAAAAAAACCCTACATTGCTAATAAAATTGCCTTACCCTGAAATGTGTCAGGAAAGTGAACACTAGAACACCTGACTCTGGATTGCATGCATGCATGCATGCGTGTGCGTGTGGAGTGTGTGGGGGGTGTGTGTGTGTGTATGTGTTGGTACTGGGACTCAAAATCAGTGCTTTGTGTTTTTACCTGGCTTTTTTGCTCAAGGCTGGTGCTCTACCACTTGAGCCACAGTTCCACTTCTGGCTTCTTGCTGCCTAAGCTGGCTTTGAGCCACAATCCTCAGATCTCAACCTCCTCAGTAGCTAGAATTATAGGCATGAGCTACCAGCACCCAGCCTCCTGCTTTTCTAAGTCACTAGCCATTCATAGACTCTTCGTCAACTGAGAGATTACTTCATGATGCCAAGTTCTAAATTTTTTTTGAAAAAAGCACATCTCCAAATACATTTTTCACCATTCACATATTGTGTAAATATTTATGATTAAAATAGCTCAATTGGGGCTGGGAAGGTGGCTCAGTGGTAGAGTACTTGCCTTGCATGCATGAGGCCCTGAGTTCGATTCCTCAGCACCACATAAGCAGAAAAAGCCGGAAGTGGTGCTGTGGCTCAAGTGGTAGAGTTCTAGCCTTGAGCTGAAAAGCTGAGGGACAGTGCCCAAGCCCAGAGTTCAGGCCCCATGACTGACCAAAAAAAAAAAAAAAAAAAAAACTCAATTGGGAAGCATTATATCTCATAGTAAATCACTTCTTGTGTCTATAATCCTAGCTATGTTGGAGGCTGAAGTTGGGAGGATTACAGTTTGAGGCCAGCCTTCTCAAGCTGCAGCTCAGTACAGTGGCACATATGTTGCTATATGGGAGTCTGAGAGTAGGATGCTTACAGGTGAACCAGAAATTACAGGATTATGCCTGTATTTATTTATTTATTTTGTTCATTGTGGGGCCTGAACTCTGGGCCTGGGAGCTGTCCCTCAGCTCTTCAGCTCAAGGCTAGTGCTCTACCACTTTGAGGCACAGCACCATGTCTGGCTTGTTCTGCTCATGTGGTGCTGAGGAATTAAACCCAGGCCTCATGCAGGCAAGGCAAACACTCTATCACTGAGCTACCTTCCCAGCTCTGGAGGACAGAATTTTGAAGCCAGCCTGGGCCTAAAAGTCTGTGAGAATCTATCTCAGCAGAACGAAGCTGGACATGGTGGTGTTTCCCTGTCATACAAGCCATGGCAGGAAGCAACAAATGGGAGTATTACAGTCCAGGTACATGCCTAGGCAGAAAGTGAGACCCTATCTCAACAATAAACAGTACAAGAAGTGACTAGAGGTATGGTTCAGTGGTAAAGCACTTAACCTGGCAAGTGTAAAGCCCTTAGTTCAAATCTCAGGACCACTAAAAAAACCTGGCGTTAATGTTAATAAAAACAGGTGAGCCAAATGCCATTGGAAGATGCCACTCGGTGCCTCATATTACAATGGTACGATGGTCAAAGTTAACACGAACAGTGGTACCAAAGGCGAGGCTTTATGCAGCATTCACAGCCCATTCCCAGTGCCGGTATCTACTGTGTGATCTTGTCAGGTTCAGCACATGACTCTGGGCTGCTAGTATCATTCATCAGTGTTCTCCTTCTCCAGGCCTGAGAATTAAAGCTCCATCCTCCCAGCGGGCCTGCAATCAGCTGCCACGGCATGGCGGGGAGTCTGTTAGGAGCCAGGGGGAGGAATCTGGGGCTAGGATGGGTCTCCCCATGAAATCTATCTTGCTCTAAACACTTTTCTTCTTCAATGGGAATAAAGAGATGGGTCTGGTTTCCATCTTCTGCTGTCACCATCCTTTATTTTTCTCAGGAGTTTTCAAGTGCTCTGAGTGCTATTTTTACGTCTACTTTGATGGGCAATTAAAGTTTTCAAACTAAACTCGGTGTTCCCAGATTTTCTCACACACAAAGTCTGGGAACTGAAAAGAGGTTCCCCCCGCTTTTATTTTGTGTGTGATAATATTATAGCTTGAACTCAGGGCCTGGGCATTGTTCTTTAGTTTTTTATACTCAAGGCTGGTACTCTTACCACTGGAGCCACAGTCCCACCTCTGGACGTTTGCTAGTTAACTGGAGATAAGTCTCACAGACTTTCTTGCTCAGGCTGGCTTCGAGCTGTGATGTCAGCTTCCTGAGTAGACAGGAATACAGGCACGAGCTGCTGGTGCCCCGCTTGTAAAGGCTTTCTAAGGAGTGATGGCTCACCCTGGGTCAAAGACCCTACTCTCTGGTTTTTGAGCAGTCTCACTTTTTCCTTTTTCATATTGTCCCGTGCATTCATTCTTCTGCCTCTCTCAAGCAGAGGCCTCCCTGTTAGCTACCTACCCTGTGTATGCTCTCCTAAGGGAATGGTGCAGGCTCAACGCTCCAGCCAGAGCCAAACCAAAGCTTAGGTTGGGGTGCTTCTGGCACAGACTATCCCAGCAATATTGCTAGAAAAGATTTGGGAAGCTCCCACTAGAGCTCTGTGTGTGTGTGTGTGTGTGTGTGTGTGTGTGTGTGTGTGTGTGTGTGTGTGTGTGTGTGTGTGTGTGTGTGTGTGTGTGTGTGTGTGTGTGCTAGGCACTGACCATTGGCTTTTTTGCTCAAGGCTGGTGCTCTACCACTTGAGTCACATCTCCACTGTTGGCTTTTTGCTAGCTAATTGGAAATAAAAGGCTCATGGACTTTTCTGTCTAGACTGGCCTTGAAACTTGATACAGATCTCAGCCTCCCAAGTAGCAAGGATTGCAGGCGAGAGCCCCTAATGTCTAGCTATCTAGTCTTAATGACGATGCAGGGTAGGCTTCAGGTACAGTGGAAGGTCAAAATTCAGGCCATCTGAATCAGCACTCGTTATCTTATGAATTCTGCACACGATAATACGGCAGCCCTGTGAGGGGGAGCCGGCAGCCTCTGGGTGATGAGTGGTCCCACAGGAGTTCACACGAGAACTTACTTCGATGTAGATGTAGTGCTTGCTGCTCTGGATGACGCTGATGTAAGCAGAGTGGATGGACTCTTCGTGGTACTTGATTCCAGCGGACCAGTCAGCAGCTGAGCGGAGCAACTACAAGACAGCAGCAATCAGCAAAGAGCCTCACCAGACCACGGACATGCGCCAGCTGCCTGGAGCCTATGGAGCCACCCTGTCTCTTCCGAACAACTCAGCAATTACTGCAGCTTAAGTCACAGGGAGACAAAGGAGGTGTCCCAGGGTGGGGCTGCAGCTGGAGAAAAGATGGGAGGGGAACTGGTCTCTGGATCTATTCCCCGAGAAAGGAGTCCAGCTAGAAAGCACACCCCGAATATACTCTCTTCCACCCAGAATTATTTCCAACACAAATCACATCACAAGGTATGTCGTTTCTACAAGGAGTACTCTGAAACTTCCCCTTCAGGAGGCTCTAAGTCACATCACTACAAGTCCTCTGTCTTGTATAGCCCCGATTGAAGCAGAAGCTTGCTGTTCTGGAATATTCTCTAATATCCACATTCCCTCAAGTGTTCTAGTTTGGACCACACAGTATGATCATCCAAGCTCTGCTTTTTTTTTTTTTTTTTTGGGTCTAGTCGTGGGGCCTGAACTCTGGGCCTGGGCACTGTCCCTCAGCTCTTCAGCTCAAGGCTAGTGCTCTACCACTTGAGCCACAGTGCCACTTCCGGCTTTTTGCTTATGTGGTGCTGAGGAATCGAACCCAGGGCCTCAGGCATGCAAGGCAATTGCTCTACCACTGAGCCACCTTCCCAGCCCCCCAAGCTCTGCGTTAATAATGCGATTGTTCCTTTTTCTTCCAAATAGACAACCAGATTCATATACTCTAAAAAATGGTTCATTTTGGTCATGCTATCTGGATTCTGTCTTTAATTAGCTATTGATCTATTGATATTTTGTGTGTGTGTGTTGCTCCTAGGGCTCAAACACTGTCCCTTAGCTTTACTGCTTAAGGCTAGCACACTCTACCTCATAAGCCACACATCCACTTCTGGCTTTTTGCTGGTCAATTGGCGGAAGAAGGATTAAATGAATTATTGTGAAGTGCAAAGCCGGTGAGTGGCTGGCAAGTCCTGTTATTATTAATGACTACATTAGAGCACTTGTTTGGGCCATGGCAGATTGCAACAGAGACGCTGTTGAAGGGCTGTGGTTGCACAGCAGGGTGACCGGAGGCTATGGCTGGTGTCCCATGGCCTTCTCAGCCCTGAGCTACTGCTGAGTGTCATTCTTTCCCACATTCTAACCAGTGTCACAGTCTGACATTGGCTCAAAAAATAATTACTGACTTTTCTTAAACGATAGCATGACGGCCCAGCAGTCACTCTAAAAATAGATCTGCTATTTCTGATTTCAACTGAATGTTGAGATGGACACTCATAAGGTCAACTAAAATAAAAAAAAAATTTAAAGTAAAAAGAATGCCTCCTTGCTTACTAGGAATAAATAAAATAATACAGAATCAGTTTTATGTCTATTATCTATTTTAAAAGGCTGGTAAAAATGATTGCTCTAATTGATCATTTAAAATTGTATTTAATCAGCCTATTGAAATTTAAAACTAGCACTTGACATTATCAATAATGCCATACTCAATAACATTTTATCTTTGCTCAGCACAAGATAGTTATCATAAAATATTTCCCGTCAAGCCATTTAATTTCATTGTGTGAGTATGTATGTGTGTGTGTATGTGCATGCACAATGAATTGGAAAATTGAATCATGAACAGGAAGCTGAAAGATACTGAAGACACTTATAAATTACGAGGAAAAAAAGATCCAGCCTAAGAAAATATCTTGATTTTTATTCATTTTTTTAGGAACTGTACTACTGCCCATCAGGTAGAAATAACAAAGGTTGAACAAACCGAATCTTGTTGCTAAGGAGCACAAAGCAGAAAATGCAGCCAGTGGGGCAGGCTGTGATGGCCCCTAGCCTGATCTAGCTCTGCAGAAGAAACAACATACGGAGTTTTGCAGGATTGGGGAGACAGGGCCTGGAGACCCGCTTCAGCTTTACAGTTCCTTGCGCTTTTATCCTGGATGTGTCACGCCCAAGTCATCGGGCTCCATTTCCCACAAGAGACCATTAGAGATACTTCTCTTTCTTTCCACCTCAACTCCACTACCATGAAGAAAAAAAATAGCACCATAAACACAATGGGCTGATCATGAAATGTGCTTTTAGCAGTGAATATTCCTTTTTGTGTGTGTGCAGGGGTGTGTGTGTGTGTGTGTGTGTACTAGGACTTGAACTCAGAACTGTATGCTTTCACTCAACTCTTTTGCTTAAGAGGCTGGAGCTCTACCAGTAGAGCTATACCTCCAATTCCAGATTTTTGCTGTTAATTGGACATAAGAGTCTCTTGGACTTTCTTTGCACAGGCTGGCTTCAAACTGTGATTCTCAGATCTTAGCATCCTGAGTAGCTAGGATTTCAGGCTAGCTTCTACATGTGCTGCGTCTCTGGCTGTAAAGTTAGAAGCAAGGTCATACAACGGCACTCATGGGCACGTGCCAGCCTTCCCCTCAAACCCAGAAACTCTACACTTCCTTTCTCACTCTCTTGAAATTTGCTTTATTCAAAAGATCAATTAACACATTCACAAAAGATAAAATTTAGGAGCATGAGTAGGGGGTTAAGTTGCGTGTCATGGCTAGACAACTTGGAGTAGCTTCCTGGACAGCTAGGTGGAAGAGAGGCTCCTGGACAGGGCCAGCTGGGATGAGCTCAGCCTGATGGCCCCAGCTGCCATGCGCGGACTGGCCATTTTCCCTAAAGAGTAGAGGTAACCATTTCTCTTTCTAGCCATGTCTAAAAACAAGTCAGGCTGTACCGTATAAGATCTGTCCCTGTATCAGTGTGTGACAGAGCATAAGCTGAAGAGGAGGGTCCCCTGATTCCTCTGATACCCAGTGTAGTTCAGAGTTCTCCCATCTCCATGGGGGTTGGGGGAGGGGGGCGCTCAAGACTCTTCTCTAGCCCATTGTCAGAGTCCAAACCCGAATCCTTCATTCACACTGAAAACTCAGGCATTATTCCTTCTTGTCCTGCACCATTGAAACTCCAGCGTTATGGAAATATCACCTGAACCACTTTAAATGCTTGAAGGTCTCTCAAGTTTTATCAATATTCATATAAGTAAACACAGTCTGATTACCACTTACACCTCCACTTCCAGCATTTCACTGGTTAGTTGGAGATGAACGTCTCAAGAGATTTTTTTTTTTTTCTGCTCAGGCTGTCTTTGAAACTTGATCCTTAGATCTCAGCCTCCTGATTAGCTAGGATTACAGGTGCCAAGGGTGCCTGACTTCAATTGAAGATGTATTCCCTTCTTTTGTGTTTATTGACCTGACAAGCTTGCCCTGCTTGCCTGTTTGTTTGTTTTTTTGTCGGTCGGTCGTGGGGCTTGAACTCTGGGCCTGGGCGCTGTCCCTCAGCTGTTCAGCTCAAGGCGAGCGCTCTACCAGTTGAGCTACAGCGCCACTTCCGGTTTTCTGGTGGTTTTATTGGAGATAGGAGTCTCACAGTCTCTCCTGCCTGGGCTGGCTTTGAACCTCGATCCTCAGATCTCAGCCTCCTGAGTAGCTAGGATTACAGGCGTGAGCCACCAGCGCCCGGCCCTGCTTGCCTGTTTTAAGGCAACCCAACTCAGTCAATTACAACTCAGACTATGTGCAGAAATGTGGCTTATGTTAACTACTGCAAGGGAAACCACACTTTCCCAGCCTCAAATCTGAACACTGCTTTAAAATACATGATAATAGCATAGCTCTCGTTTCATGGAAGAGTCTCAAAATTGTCACTAGGACCAGTTCTTTCCCTTTGGCCTGTGTCCAGTGTTTGAACTTAAAACCTAACCTTCTCCTTAACTGCATACCTAATCCCCTGTCATACAATGGGCTTGACGCAAATATATAGTCTACTTAGGAGAAATCTCCTCTTGAAGAAAAACTTCCAGAACCATTCTTCTGTCCTATATCTTCTTCTTTTCTCTCTGGAATGCTTCTGCTTTGTCTTATAAACTCAGTGCATCTATTGATGTCTTACTTTGTGTTTTGAAATAAGGTCTCCATACATAGCTCAGGCTAGCTTGGAACTCCAGATTCCGGATGCTTAGGCATCCGGAGTGCTTGGATTCCTGATGTGCACCCACTTGTCTTCTTATTTTAATTCTTTATTTCTCTAAGCTTCCAACTCAAACGAGGAACAGAGTGTTAAGGATAAATGGACTCCTTTCCCTATCCCTTTTCTCTTCTTCCTTCCCCTCCTTTCCCTCCCTGCCTGCTTCCCTCCATCTCTCCTCCCTTCCTTCATCCTTCCCTCGCTCCTTCCTTCTCTCCCTTCCTCCTTTTCCTTCTTCCATCTCTCCCTCCTTTCTTCCCTCCCATAACATAAACAAGATTGAAGATGATTCCAGTGGAGTTTTCTTCTATTTAGCTAGCGATTCCTAACACATTGTCAGGCCCACAGCCCAATGAGGCCAGTGAACTATTTGGTACATGACAGAGCAGATACTGAGCTTTCTGTCAGCTGTCTTTGACCATCTGCCTGTATGGATCATTTCCTATGGCCTGTAATGATGTTATATTCAAATTGCCCTTGGCAGGAAAAAAAAAAAAGATGTCCACCTCAGTAGAGATGATTTATTTTAAGTTGCCCAATTTAGTAAGAAGGCTCTTTCCTGTTGAGCGTCAGTGGCTCAGACCTGTAATCCCAGCTACTCAGGAAGCTGAGGTCTGAGGATCAGAGTTCTAAGACAGCCTGGACAGGAAAGTCTATGAGACTTATCTCCAATTAACCAAAAAAAGCTGGAAGTGGAGCTATGAGTCAAAGGGTACAGTACTAGCCTTAAGTACAAAGCCCAGGACCTGCAGCCAGGCCTTGAGTTCAAGCCAGGACTGGCACACACACAAAAGAATCACCCCAATTTATTATGTCAATGCTGACTTACATTTGAATTTTCTCTCACCTTAAAGACTGCCCCTTGTCTCTCTTGGTATTGCTGTTTGCTTGTTTCTTTATTTTTTTTCTTTTGGGGCACTAGGGACTGAACTCAGGGCTTGCACTGCTAGACAGGCACTCTACCAAGCCTCCATCCCCTTGGTATTGTGTCTTAAATGCCAACAAGAGCTTTGAGGAACTAGTCTATTTTTAATAGAAAGAAAATAGGCTGGGAACCACCTCTTCCCCTTTCTCCCACACCTGCTGCTTGTATGACTGATCCTGGCAGGCTCTGGAGAAGGCCTGATTCTGAAGGGGAAAAGCCAGGACTATTTTTAAAATGTTGGTGAAAGCTGCGTTGTCAGCTCTCAGCTCTGGCAGACTTTTTCCTCCGGCAGCAACTCATGTTGGTGGGGCGGGCCTCTGTTCTCCCCTGATCGGCTGAGCCACTGTCCCAGATAACAACGCTTGTAATACGTTTAAACTGGAAATAACTAGGTACCTACTGTCAATGAAAGATTGACTTGAATTCTTGTCTATTATTTACTTTGTGTTGAATTTCACTCCATTACAATAAGCACATGATACACACACACACACACACACACACACACACATAGATATATCTATATATCTATATAAATATATAAAGTAAAAAACTAGCCAAGGGATCTAGCAGAGAAATGTCAATTTCTTTGTGGCAAACTCTTGAAAGATGAAAGTATGGCAGAGCTGATACTTACAGAGTACAACTAGTGCACTTGGCTCAGTGTTTTGAGTAAAACAACTTATTTACCCATCACTTCCCATCAATCACTACCATTATCCCCAATCTGTAAACAAAGGGAACCTATGAGAAGAGAGGCCATTTCCCTAGGGTTAAGCAGCAGAGTTGGGATTTTAATATTGCCTGATTTTAGAATCTATTTTTCTCTCTCTTTTTTTTTTTTCTGGCTAGTACTAGGGCTTGAACTCAAAGCCTTGAGCTCTCACTTGGCTTTTTCCATTCAAAGCTGGTGCTCTACCACTGTAATCCTAGCTACTCAATTTCCAGTCCCGCTTCCTTTTTGCTGTTTAACTGAAAGTAGTTAAACTTTTCTGCCTGAGCTGGCTTTGAACTTCAATCCTCAGATCTCAGCCTCCAGAGTAGGTAGGATTACAGGGGTTAGCCACCAGCACCTGGTTTACAAGCTCTCTTTTAATTGCCACATCATACTATTTCCTCCCATATAAGTAAGCTCATGGCCTGTAAATTATGTTATGCAATAAACCTGCTAAAATCCCAACATATTTAAATTTTATTTATTTATTATTTAATTTCCTAATAGATTATCCTCACAGTACCACTGGGTCTGAACTTTCTGATTTGTAAATTGAAATGATTAGACTGGATGTGCAGATTGTTATGACTCCAATAAGCAAATTCCTATTCCACTAAAAGACTCCTAGCATGACTTTCAATTAAGAACTAACATTAGACTGGACTGTAACTAACCTCCATGGAGCATGGTTCAGCTTCACACCTAATGCAGAAGCAGTGCCAGGTTTAATGTGTAAGGTGTAGGTCCCTTCCAACGGAATTATGGGAAAATCATTCCTTGACCCATCTGAGGAGACACAGTTATTATTTGTATAAATGAGTTTCAGAGAGAAAATGAACTGAATACAATTAACATAGGAAAGTTAATCCTACGAAGACCTAATTAGATTTGTATTGGAAAAGTCCTGATATAAAAGTCAGAGCCAAAGTAGGCTAGTCAGATCCCAGTCATGTATTCAGTAGCAAGCGGCAGAAATGCAAAGGCCAGCTTACCTGCACAGTAGCATGTACTGCTCCAGGAACCTGATACCTCAGCTCGTGGGCAGTAGTTTGAGACTTTGGAAGCAGGAAAGGATAAGAAAGGGACCGATATTTTGGTTTCATAATCTAAAATAGAGGAGAAAAAAACAGATGAAGAAGATTCACATGAAGAGTCCATTCTTCCCTATTTTGTAATTATAAAAGAAATTCAGGTTCCTTTAGGGTTAAAAAAAAATCAAGGGACATCTCTAAGGATTATAGATTACTTATTTTTATTTTCTATTTCCTTCCTTTACCCCTTGTAGCAAGCATGTATTGATTTATATTTGTAATAAAAGATTAAATGTAGACTATAGTTATATTGATATAAAATTGTAAAATGGATCCTTGTGTTGTAAGCTAATTTTCACTTTGTTGAGAATATCTTGCCATAGCAATTCGGCATTATTTTGTTCTTAACAACTTCATAGTAAAATAAAATGAAGCATTTCATATATTTCTAACTTATCTCAATAATTAAAAACAATGTCAAAACCAGGGCTGGGAAGGTGGCTCAGTGGTAGAGCGCTTGCCTTGCATGCATGAGGCCCTGGGTTCGATTCCTCAGCACCACATAAGCAAAAAGAAAAAAGCCAGAAGTGGCACTATGGCTCAAGTGGTAGAGCGCTAGCCTTGAGCTGAAGAGCTGAGGGACAGTGTCCAGGCCCAGAGTACAGGCCCCACGACCGGACCCCCCCCAAACAAAAAACAAACAAAAAAACAATGTCAAAAGACACGACTTTACTAGACTTATCTCTTCTTTTTTTCCTCTGTGTGTTGGTGTGGGGGCTTGAACTCAGGTTTATGCTCTTTGCTTGGCTTTCATGCTCAAGGCTGATGCTCTACCACTTAGCCACAGCTGCAATTCCAACTTTTTGCTGGTTGTCTGGACTTTTCTGCCAGGGTTGACTTCAAACTTGGATCCTCAGTTCTCAGCCTCCTGTGTAGCTAGCTAGGTTATAGGTGTGAGCCATCAGTGCCAGGCCAACACTTATCTCTAGGTTTCTAGATATTTCTAGGTTTCTTTAGGTTAAAGACTAAATACTTAAAAAACAAACTCACTCATGCTGTACCAATTTATCTTCCCTAGTATGGAATATCAGCTTATATTTTAAATCTAAATCCAACAGAAAAGATTAGCATTCTTTTGATAGTACTTAAATGAAAGGTAATTGTAGTTTATTTTCCCACATCCTCTAAGCTTTTGCGTAAAGTATTTGCATTATATATTTTTTTAATTTTATTTTTATGGTTATGTAAGTCAGTCAGATGATGAGTACATTTCTTTCTGGACAGTGTCATTCCTTCCTTTGCTTCCTCTTAGCTTCTATTATGTTTTTATAATGTTATATATGAATGGTAAGTGTTGTTTATATAACTTTTTCCAGCTTATCAGGCTGGGGGGCGGGGAGAATAAACCGAATCACTGAGTGTAAACAAAGTGGGGTTTGACCCCACCGGACTTGTGCTCCTTGGGGTCAGTTCTCACAAGCAATGAAGGGCAACTAAAGATGACATTATCCATCTGGAGAAAAGAAAAATGGCTCCCCCTCACCCTGCTCAGCTTGCTCAGAACCAGCTCTCAGTCCCCTTCCCAGTGCAGCTCTAAGACTGGAAGTTCCAGCCGCCTCATCTGAACAGGGCTCCCAGATCCTTCCAATCACCTACTGAGCCAAGCGGGGTAAATGCTTAACCATTACTGCACATCAAAGAGGTTAAAGGAAGAGGCCTTGGATCAGCAGGTGTTTCTCTGCACTCTGAATCATCTGTGGGATGGAAGTTCAGGAATATTTTCCTTTCCTTAATGCCCTGAGGCTTGGGCACGCTGACAGTGATGTATCCAGTGGGAGATGATGTCACAGCAATGACTACAGTAGCCTTCTCTTTCCAACCCTCTGCAATTCCCCTCTAGCTGGGACTGCCCATGGACCACCCAGGTGGACAGAGAAGCTGTGACACAACCAGTACCTTGGTGAAGTTCCAGCGCTGGATGAAGTGCCTGGCCACGTCTCGAGCTGCCCTTCCATGGACGGCGGAGGCAATGTCATGCCAGGGCATGCGTGGAGTGGCATACCTGTCAATGAAATCTGCCCAGGCACACCAGGCAGCAATCCATCACTGCCCTCTCTGTCAGGGACAGAAGCCCTCTGGCCCACGGTCACATCTAAGTGGTATCATAAAAAGTGTTCACGTTCACTATGCACATATTTCTTGGCTTGGTTAGAACAGCACTTTTCTAATTAAGCAAACACAAGCCTTAAACTGAGGAATAGTCTCCACCAACTTTCCCATTTCATGCATTGTCAGTCAACAGGCAAGGTGAGTTAGACCCGTTATCCAAGGCTGTGCACTGAATATATTTTTCTTGTTTGTTCTGTTAAAATAATGGCAGAGGGGCTGGGAAGGTGGCTCAGTGGTAGAGCGCTTGCCTTGCATGCTCAAGGCCCTGGGTTCGATTCCTCAGCACCACATAAGCAAAAAGAAAAAAGCCGGAAGTAGCGCTGTGGCTCAAGTGGTAGAGCACTAGCCTTAAGCTGAAGAGCTGAGGGACAGCGCCCTGACCCAGAGTTCAGGCCCCACGACCGGACCCAAAAAAAAAAAAAAAAAAGGCAGATTATATAGGCAGTGCCTATATAGTCTATAGGCTTGTATAGCGTATATAGGCCTCTTAGACCCTAAACACAATTATGAGGTGAAAATCGGCCATTCCAAAGGACAGAAGGGCATAAGGAAGATAAATGGAGAATGGCTATCATGTCCTGGAGACTTATCATTACCCTAAACTATGCTTACTAGAAACCTGTAGGGTGTCAGCTTTCAGACAGGCCAACTTTACTTTGTAATATTATTATTACTGTTATTATTATTACTACTATAAGGAAATGTCTTTAAGTGACCAAATCATGTTTACAAAATTGAATCAAACTTCCTTTTCAATCTTTGGTGTATGTGTGCATGGGGGTGGGTGTATGTGTGTATGTATCTGTGCACACATGCGCACATGTACATGTGCACACTAGTACTGGAGCTTGAATTCAGGGTCTTGCCCTCTCACATAGTTCTTTTGCTCAAAGTTGGAGCTTTACCATTTGAACTACAGCTCCACTCCACTTCTGGTTTTTTGTTTGTTAATTGGAGATAGGAGTCTTACTGACTGTTCTGCTTGGGCTGGCTTTGAACTGTGATCCTCAGATCTCAGCCTCCTGAGTAGCTAGGATAACAGGTGTGTGCCACTAGTGCCCAGCTCAAACTCTCAAAAACAAAGACAAAACACAGAATAACCTAAAAGCATTTAGATCCTACACATGCATACCCTTTGAGATGCTCAAGAGTAAAAGATTAAATACAACCTGCAGCCCAAACAACGATTCTCACCAGCAAAAGGCTTATCCAGTTGAACCCAGTCTTTGAAGACAAAATTGCAGTAGTCTTTGCCGTGCCAGAATCTGGTTTCCCCATGTAGCTCTCCCACACCTGTCTGTAGGCTGCGGATGGAGCCGCTGTCTGTGAATACAACAAGGTCAACTCAGAGCCTGGGCCATGTGAGGGGGCAAGGCTTCCTCTACTAAACACCTACCCAGGGCTTCATTGTCCTTCCTGGCTGCATGTGTCCATTTGATTAGAGGCTGGGGGATGACAACCCTTATAAGTTTCGTTTTGGTGGGGGGTGCTATGGTTCATTGTTAAACAATGACACTGAATATTCTCCAGCAGTTTGGGCTGTTGATTCTCACTGCCTACCAGAACATCAGATCAACAGATCCTGGGGGTTACCGTGAAAAAATAATTCCCAAAGTAAGACTTCAGCGAGCAGTAAAGGCAAGTGAGCGTGGAGAGACAAGAGATGTGGAGATGTCATCTCAATGTTTATAGACATGACGTCTCATGATTACAGACAGCCTGTGTGCCACACTCAAAATTTATCCAACATTAACTAGCCATGTGACACACTTAGCTTTGGGGTTTTTGCGGGGGGCATAAACACCTTCTATATAAAAAGAAGAAATCAAAATGGATAACAGCTTAGATGAGACTCTAAGATTTTATATTCCTAAAACTAAAGACAGTATCTATAAGATATACCTATATCTATATCTATATCTATATCTATATGTGTGTGTGTGTGTGTGTGTGTGTGTGTGTGTGTGTGTGTGTATGTATAACACCAACAGACAAAAGCTTCTGCTCAAGCATGAAAGCAACAGCCTGTGGTAGCATTCACAATGACCTTAATGAGACCATATCCCATAAGGGTAAATAAATACCTTGAGTTCAACAGCTGGTAAGTTTAAGAGTTATATCAACTATTGCGACAAATGAGGCAGAAGACTAACAGAACTACAACTCACAAACACAGCGTTTGGCAGAAAAAGCAGCACCTGATCAACAGACATAGGGTGCAAAAGTATTCTGTGAATGAATGGATGGATGGATGAATAGTACTGCTTGAACTGGCATTGAAGAGGCGTAGACTAACCATCTCCCCTCCCCACCAAACTGGCCCAGAACTGTTCATAGAAAATGGTGTAAAAGTCTTTCTTGTCAGGTCACCTACTGTCTACAACAGGGTCAGGTCCCAAAAGCTTCTTGTGCATAGGAGTTCTTCCCAAACCATTGTCATGGAACTTTCTGGTTCTTGTTTGCCTCTCTCAGCCCTAAAGCCCAGCACACCACACCATTCCTGGTATTTTGACAGGCTTGGCCTGGTTTGCATGCTCTGCTTTTTGTCTAGATTGTTCTTCCCTCCACATGGCCTGGTCTCCGGCCATCCTCAAGAGCTGGCCACGCTAGCTGTCATCTGCCCTAGAGAACCCTGTGAATCCAGACAGCGGGGTAACCATGGTCATCACTGTCCTCCGGACAGGAATTGCACCTCGAGGCCTCTGACTCTGTGGTTCCCCCATTACCCCCAGGAGGTTGTAGCTCCTCATAATGGGGACTGTACCCCTCACCCCCTAGGAAGCTTGGCAGCTAGGCGTCAATCAAGAAATATGTGTAGAACAAGTATGACTGTACATTATCAGACACAACTACAGGAAGTTCTCCTTATTCGTGGATTTATGACATGTTGTTTTGACCAAGCGCAGTCAAAAATTATCATAAAAAGTTTTAAAATTAGAAGCTATTTCCCCAAACCTCAAAATTTAAATGTTCACCCACATGTACATCATACAGCTCAGTTGCTCTGAAGAAACACTCAGCTGGTCCTGTTTTATCATCCATTGTATTTAAGTCATTGTGTGATCTGCTGAGGCTTCTGCCCTAAGTTTTGTGAAGAATCTGCCGCCCACAAAAGCAAATGGTATACCCTTTCCCCAACTCCCTCCAGAAAGCAGGGTAAAAGCAAACATGCTTAATTGAAGTGAACAAGTGAGATCTGTTGGTCAATCCCAGGACCTTGCTGGACACTTCGGCTTGAAAGTTTTATTTTTATTTATTTTTTGCGGGGGAGGGGTCCAGTCGTGGGGCCTGAACTCTGGGCCTGGGTGCTGTCCCTCAGCTCTTCAGCTCAAGGCTAGCACTCTACCACTTGAGCCACAGTGCCACTTCCGGCTTTTTTCTTTTTGCTTATGTGGTGCTGAGGAATCGAACCCAGGGCCTCATGCATGCAAGGCAAGCGCTCTACCACTGAGCTACCTTCCCAGCCCAGAAAGTTTTATTTAGAATTACGACTATCACGATAGTCACGAGTGTCCTTAGCCATCAAGCCTTCCCCAAAGGGTTCTGCTTCCTGTTTAGTTTCTGAATTCTAACATACCCCTCCCCTGGTCTTTTCTTTCCCACTTGCCTACCCCCTATCCTCATCCTCTCCACACCCTGCCCATCAGCACCACTTCCGCCACATTGGAATTCTGCCCATTGCTCTTTTGGAAAAGTTACTCCTATTCAGTTTTAACATGGCCCACTGGTACTCCCCAGTCCCATGCCTTTGCCTCTGTGTGGCCTCACCTTTAACCCTTTCCCCCAATGGGGATTCTATGGCATTTAGCTGGTGCAGGTGCACTCTCAGCCCGCCTTACAAGCCCTCATAAATTGGTACAGAGATGGCTCCCCTCACCCCACCTCACCCAACCCAATCTGCCTACACAAACTCATCTTTAAACACAACCGCTAATCCCCAAAAGCTCTGAAAAACCTAATTGCTTAAATGGTTTGCTTATAACCCAGATATTCCCAGGCCCCTGTTGGGAGGGTCACATAATGTATGGAGGAGTTACCCCTTTTCTAAAATCCAGAACCTTCTTTCTGAAGCATATCTGACCCCAACGGTGCTGCAAGAGATTATAGATTTGTCTGTCCCCAGCTCCACACTTAGGTCGGGAGTTGAAATAAATACTTGGGGATTTACGTATCTGTGCCCCAAACTTAAGTATCTACCTTCTGAATTTATGTCTCTATTTAGTTCCACTGGTCTTCAATGAATTACAAACTTTACAAATCCTGTGGTCTGGAAACTTGCTGTACTTTTGGATTGTTATCTGGGTCTACAGAGTTGTATTCCATCTATGGAGAAAGCTTCACCAGAAGTCCAGGGGACTGATTCTAGGCGAATCGCTAAGGTACTAGATGGTACAATGTAAAATAATTTATATAAATATATTAAATAATCCTCACTAGTCAATACTAAGCTCTTTGGAAGTGGTCTATTCATTGCACCTGAGAGAAAAGAGTTAAGAAATGGCTTAACTTTGTATTTATTATCTCTCTAGTTACATATTTAAGGACCTGTCTTAACTAAATTATAAACAAAATTCTACTCATTAGCTATTTAATACTGTGAACAGGGAATGGTCAGCAAACAAGTACTGAATGAAAGGGGAGTGAAATTCTAACTTTTTAAAAATAGATGCTATTACGAGATTCTAGTGGCTCATGCCTGCAATCCTAGATACTTATGAGGCTGAGATCTGAGGACTGAGACTGGAAGCCAGCCTGGGCAGAACAAAATCCAAGAGAGATCTCCAATTAACCGGCAAAAAAGCTGGATTGGAGGTGTAGCTCAGGTGGTAGAGCACAGCTGTGAGTGAAAATGCAGAGTAAGAGCACGAAGCATGAGTTCAAGCCCCAGTGCTGGCAGAATACAACAACAACAAAATAACAATGATAATAATAAAAATAGTATCAAGCAGATTTTGATCTGAGATTCTCCCTCTTACAACAAATTCTGAAAGAACAGATATTCTTCATGATAGCTTAGTAACTCTGAATTAAAATACTTATCATATGTTGGTATAATTTGTGGAGGGGAAGGGGAAAAACAAGTCGTTTAAATAAGGATACAGGTGGACCCATTGCAACAATGAGAAGTACAAGTTGTCATGTCAAAAACGAACTTTACAACTTTGGTGGGGGCGGGGGGAGGCTGGGAAGGGATGGGAAGGGGAAACAAAGGAGGAGGCTACAATGCTTAATAAGAAATGTACTCATTATCTTGCCCATGTAATTGTAACCCCTCTGTACAGTATGTTCACAATAAAAAATTTAAAAAAAATACTTATCATAGAAATCTAGGACTCCTCTTTGAGGGCTTTGCTGCTTTATCATGGCTTTCCTTTCACTTTCAAGTAAATTTATTCAGTTTAACTTAAAAAAAAATAAAATTAAAAGTCTGGTGCAGATGGCTCACCCCTAGCTACTTGGGAGTTTGAGATCTGAGGACTGTGGTTCAAAGCCAGCCTGGGCAAGAGTCCATGAAACTCTTATTTCCAACTAACCTGCAAAAAAAAGCCAGAAGTGGAGCTGAGGCACAAGTGGCACAAGCACTAGCTTTGGTGTGCAAAGCCTGAGTTCAAGCCCCAGAACTGTCACAAAAATAAATCAATACATAAATAAAAGAAGTCTAGCCAGGCCACTAACCACCTTGGAGATGAACTAACAGTAGTGCTTGCAGTCTCTATTTTTAACTGTGTGTAGAGATTCTGGGCATACATGTACAGGTTTCTGCCTCCCTCTTGGGTGAGGTAAATTGGGGACATTTCCACCTATCTTTGTACAGCTGGGGGCAGCACCCAACAGAAGCAGTCTCTCTAGAGACAGGACCCCAACATGATAACCAAGCATTTCCCCTTCCCAGCGGAGTGTCACCCCATGTTTATTTGTGTGACATATGTTTACAACATCACATAACTTATGCCTACAGTCATGTCCTTCATGGAAACTTGTTTTTCTAAAACAAGGAGCTCCAATACAGGTACAGGTGGGAACGTTTGGACTGAAGGAGGTACCCACACTAGAGGGCGGATGTGGGGTTGCCTCCTCCATTGACCTTCCAGAGTCTCTGGATAAACTCTAGACACTAGGGCATCGAGTTAGGGAAGCAGAGCTCTATGAAGATCAAAATATTCTTTGGCTTTTCTTCCTAAGCAACTCAATATTTTCCCCTTCTAATAAAAAAATACCTGAATTTGCAGCTGTATTTGGTCATGAGATAAATGACCATCTTTAGGTAGTCATGCTGGGAATCCACCTCAGGCTTGGGCTGCCTGGTGCTGTCCACTCCGGCTTTCTGCTTCATCTCAGTCCCTGGAACCCCTCCCGCTGGGGTCACGGATGGGGTCCCCCTGCCCCAGCTCCAAACCCAGCGCCTCAGCCAATGCTGCGCCCTCTACCCTCAGCATTAAGGCAGCATCTAACCTGCCTGTATAAACCTCAGGCAGAACCTTGTCTGCCTTGGCCTACCAGCTTTCAGTGACTCCCTCAGAAGCCACAATTCCTACAGAACCCTGGAAAACAGCATATAACCCATCCAGTACCTGCCTCTCTTAACTAACTTTTCCTGACAGTCTCCTCTGGCCACACCATGGCCCCTACCTTAGGGCCTTTGCATTCCCTGCTTCTCCTATCTAAGACAATCCCCCACACAGCCTCTTATTCCCATTTTTCTGTCCCTTTTGATCTGTGCTGACAACTTCATTGACCGCACAATGCCTTTCCATGTACTCCAGGCCTACAGGCAGCCTGGCACTCAGCCTATGTGCTTCTGCCAGCTCATTCCACAGTGAGGTTGAAATTTGCTTCTAAGCCGCTCAAGCCACACACTGGAATGGCAAGCCCCTGCCCTCAATGGTTCTCAAGTCTTCACCTTGAACACGTGTGGTCTGTTCCCCTGGACCTCAGACCACTCCTATCTCAGCCTCCCAAGCAGCTGAAATCATAGACATGTACCATTTCTCTCTACCCAATTAATGCATCTCTCTTTCCTTCTCTCTTTCTTTCCTTCTTTCTTTCACCTCCCCCTCCCCTCCCTCCCTCCTTCCCTTCCTTGGGTTATCAGGTTCACTGGCCCTTGCTGGCTTGACTGACTCACAGGCCTGACTGGCCTGATGCTAGCTGGGTTCTTTCTGCCCCGCCTCCTTACCCATGTGTAAGAGAGCCTTGGCCTTGGACTCTGGCCAACAGGTCAGTTTGGCTATGTCACAAATCTGTCTCCTGAACCCTGAGACACTGATAAGCTAGGAATTCTGGAGCAAACTGCTTAACATCCATAATCCTGTTTCCTGGGCTGAGGAAAGGAGATAATGGGTGACCCCAAGAACAGCCCACACGTAGGCAGAGGCCATGCCTAGAGTGGGTAGTGAGTGGTTTTACTACTGTCACTATGACCAGGACTTAGCCCTGCAGAGGCTCAGCTGCCAAATCCTCATTTCTTCCCACCACCGTAATTTACAGCCTGATTTCTCTCACAAAGTCATTAGACTTCCATCTCCTTCTTTCCTTCCCTCCCTCCTTCCCTCTCTCCCTCCCTCCTTCCCTCCCTCCCTCCCTTCCTTCCTTCCTCCCTCCCTTCCTCCCTCCCTCCCTTCCTTCCTTCCTTCCTTCCTTCCTTCCTCCAGTTCCAGGACTTGAACTCAAGGCCTCATGCTCTCATTTAGCTTACCACTCACAACCAGTGCTCTACCACTTGAACAACACCTTACAGCCCAACATTTTGCTTGTTAATTGGAGGTGGAACCTTACAGACGTTTCTGCCTGGGCTGAATTTGAACTGGATCCTCACATCTCCTGAGTAACTAGATGTGATTCACACATAGCCCATGATACTCAAAGGCCTTCAAGATTTTCAACCAAATTAAGTCCTACATGATCGTATGCATCATCCTAGGCTTACATCAAAAACCACATCTAGCTAACTGAGGGATTTTCAATTTTCCATCTAACACCTTTGTTCTCATTTCTAACACCTGTACCACCTATCCCAATCTCTCTCTCTCTCTCTCTCTCTCACACACACACACACACACACACACACACACACACACACCACACCACACCACACCACACCACACCACACCTAACTACTGGTGGGCTCAGAGGAAGACCTTGCCTTCACTGCTAAAGGACGCTGTTGGGCAGCAGCAATCCCAGCCGTAAGGGACAGAAGATTCCCCACATTCTATGAGGCACAGAAGTCACATGAGCAGAAAGCCAATCTGGAAGCACACTTGCTCACTCGGAGCCCAAGCAACAGACAACTGAACAAAAGCAGAAGCCTGCGGAGCTGTGCCACATTGGAGCCATGGCCACTTACCAAGGCGGGGTCTAGTGAGGCCCTGCTCAGACCCACCGCAGGGTCGGAAGAGTTTCAAGTGAGGCTTGAAACCATGGATTAAAGTCTGATGACTTCTGTAATGATTAAGATAACCTGGGGAAAGGTGAGAAATCTTTTTTTTCCAAAAGAATATTGATAGGCATACCAACTTTTCGAAACTGGAAGGCAAATTCAATCATTTTTTTTTAACTAGCAGGATTACTAAAAGCAATCTGTGCAAAAGAAGCTGCCGTGTTAAGACATATTTGATAAGAGATAAGAGCAGTAAGAGATGTAGACTATTGATGGCTGATGATAAAAGCTTAATATATATAGCGGAACAAAACAAAAAGTTGTTTTTTTTTTTCCCATAGTACTGGGGACTGACCTCAAGTCCTGATACTGCCTAGGCAGGTACTCTACCACTGAAGCCACAATCCCATCCCTTATTTTGCTTTATTTTTGGATAAGGTCTCTTGTTTTTGCCAGGTGCTAGTCTTGAACCCCCATCTTCCTATGTCTGCCTCCTGAATAGCTGGGATTACAGATATGAAGTATAAGTCCTGGCTTGTTGGCTGAGATGACGTTCTGCTAATGTGTTGTAAGAGTCCACCTCAGCTCAAGAGCCTCTTGATCTCAGTCTCACAAACAGCTGGGATTACAGGTGTGTTTTGTTTTGCCAGGTATAAGAAATGAAATTTCTAAGGAAAGCTTAGAAAATTTCTAAGAAATTGTCTAATACCTTTCATTTTCCTTGATAGCCTGACATAGTTTAGGAAACCTTATTCAATATACTACCATCAAAAGTAGAAAGTGGAAGTAGGGATACTCTGTGAAAAGAAAATCTGAAAAGAAAAAAAAGTGGGGGGCAGCATGATGCTGAACAGGATGAGGCAGCGGCCGGTTCACCTTGCTCATTTTTACTGCATGACAGCAAGACAGATTTGAAGACAGGTATGTCAGTCGGGTATAATGAGTGGCTCATGCCTGTAATTGCAGCTGCACAGGAGGCACAGACAGGATCATGAATTTGAGACCAGCCCTGGTGAAATTTGAGACCCTGTTTTAAAAACAATGCACATGGATCCTATCCACAAGGAGGAAGGAAGGAAGGAAGGAAGGAAGGAAGGAAGGAAGGAAGGAAGGAAGGAAGGAAGGAAGGAAGGAAGGGAGGGAGGGAGGAAGGAAGGAAGGAAGGGAGGGAGGGAGGGAGGGAGGAAGGAAGTGAGGGAGGGAGGAAGGAAGTGAGGGAGGGAGGAAGGAAGTGAGGGAGGGAGAGATTGAATGAAGGGAGGAAAAAAGAAAGAAAAGAAAGAAAGAAAGAGAGAAAAAAAGAAAGAAAGAATGAAAGAAAGAGATAGAGAAAGAAAAGGAAGGAGGAAGAAAGGGAAGTAGGGAAGGAAGGAAGGAAGGAAGAGATAAAAAAGACAGAGAAAAGAATGAATGAATGAAAGAGATAGAGAAAGAAAAGGAGGAAGGAGGAAGAAAGGGAAGGAAGGGAGGAAGAGACAAAGAAAGAAAGAGAGAAAGAAAAGGAGAAAGGAGGAAGAAAGGGAAGGAGGGACGGAGGGAGGAGTGAGGGAAGAAGGAAGAGAGGGAGGGAATGAGAGAGGAGGGAGGGAGGGAATGAAGGAACAAAGGGAAGGGAGGGAGAAAGAAAGAAAGAAAGAAAGGAAAGAAAGAAAGACAGGAAGGAAGGAAGGAAGGAAGGAAGGAAGGGAGGGAGGGAGGGAGGGAGGGAGGGGGGGAGGGAGGGAGGAAGGGAGGAGGGAGGGAGGGAACAGAAAAGCTGCCGTGACTTTCTATAGAGGTGGTAAAGATGGAGACTCACTGGAGGCGCTGTCCACGCTGCTCAGGCTGTCCGCGTTGTGCAGGTGGTGTAGGTGCAGCTGCCGGTACAGGCTAAACTTGGAGAACTTCCTGGACTTCCCGATCCCTTTCAGTCTGGAGTCTGCGTCGTCAGCACTTCTGAGGACGGGCAGGGCTGGAGGGCTGTCCACTCGATCTTGGAGGCTGAGGGAGTCCATGGACCCTGTGACTGGAATCTGGGGAAATGGGAGGACAAGACATGTGGCCTGAGCTGTGCTGCCCTGGGACCCCTTGTCCAGAACAGTTGGGGGAGACTGAGGTAAGCCTGAAGTATTCTGGATTCCTGAAATCATCTCCACAACCCTGAGGATCCCAGAAGGGCCACTGAGGCCCGAAAGCCACCTTTCCATGTCAACACACTGGCCACACCATCCACTTCTCCCTGATCTACACAGCAGGTCTCATCCTCTTGGCCATTGAGGCCCTGCCCACAGCTCAGTAAGGTCTTCCCCAGAAAGCTGCCACCAGCCCCGGCTCTGCACCTGAGGGAGCCATGACAAAGTCCACCAGTCCATCTCTCCAATCCCCAGCTACCACGGCAGCCTTGGGCAGATGCTGGAAAGCCAAGAGTTTGTCGTCCTCCAAAGGAAAGGTACTTGGAGAAGTCATCGATTGACTTTCTGCCTAAATTCAGCTTCTCCTACATCATCCCCAACAGCCCTAGCCTGTTGGCTTGCACACTTGAAGTTGTAAGGTTCCAGAATCTGTGGTTAAATATGTGTCCTACCCCTGAGACATCTCCTAAGACACACCTGCGGCCCCCATGCTGCTTTTCAGGTTACTTCTGGCTAGTTAACTTGCATCTTCACTCCCACACATTTTTGTTCATGAACCTCCTTTTCCAAATAGAAGAGAAATCTTGGATTTGAATAGGAATCCCAGGGGCTGAATATGAGCTCCAAGCGTTGGGGTCATGGAGGTCGGGGGGTTGGGGGAAGTTGGACCTGTGAGACTTGGGCCACTGGATGCCTGACCAGTGCCCTCAGCCCCTCCATGGACAGGCCAGTCCTCTCCATCAGTCAGTCAGGCCACAGGTGCACGTGGACAGACAGACCAGAGTCATTCACTCCATCCGTAAAAGGGTCCTTCACCCACCGTGAGAGAGCCAAGGGATGGCCCTGAAGTGACCCTCTTCACGCTGCCCACATCGGTCAGTCTGTGTTCGTGGTCATCCCACCTCCCGTAGGCCAAGTCAATGCCACCCACAAAGGCTATGGACTGGTCGATGATCACCAGCTTCTCATGGTGAGCCCATAGGTAGACGCTGGAGGACACATGATCCGGGTGCCTCATCACCTTGAAAGAAGAGAAAAACCTCCATGACATGCTTCGCCCAATGTCCTTCATGGCATTATTAAATAGTTCTGCTTTCTCCTTGAAGAACTTTTTTTTTTTTTAGGGCCAAGCATGGTGGCTTGTGCCTGTAATTATAGCTACTCAGGAGGCTGACACTGGGAGGACCCAAAGTGGAGGCCAGCCTGTGCAAACAATTATTGAGACTCCACCTTAAGGAAGCTGGGCATGGTGGTTCACACCTTAGACCTCAGATCAAATAAGAGTTGAATACAGGAGTATCACAGTTCTAGGCTAGATTCAGATAAAACGTGCATGATCCTTTCTGAAATATTTTAAAATAAGACTGAGAGTCTAGCTCAGTGGCAGAGTGCATAAGGCCCTAAGTTCAAGCCCCAGTACTGCTCCCCGCAAAAAACCATTTTTTTCAAATAATTCAAATACATACATACATACATATACATATATATGTACCAAACAAGGCCTCCAAATCTGTAACTTTATTCTCAGTATTATCAGTGTCATTTGCAAGGAGGAGGGAATGCAAGGTCTCACTGTGTAGCCTAGGCTGGGCTTAAAGTTGATATCCTCCAACAGTCTTCCAAATATTGGGTTATAGGCACGTACCACCACACCCAGCTTTTATCTACTTTTTATATCACCAGCCTAGATGCCATATGTCATTGGACTTAAAGTCTGATTACACATTAAAACCACTCATGTTGATAGCTGTTGGCCCCTTTCCCCTCTTTAAGGATCTAGTTGTATTTGTTTTTAACTCTAAAAATATTTTATCAACATCTACCTCAGGAAAAATTTTTTTAATATTTTGGCAACCGCTGGATGTAGTGCTATTGCTATTTTAACAGCTCTCCATTTAAAAGGGACTTTGAGAAGTTAGGAACTTTCTGCTCTCAGATTTCCTGAATGACCCAGTCACAACTCTCTGAATTTTCACAGGGTTTGAAGTAAGAAGATTCCAAAAAGTTAGGTTGTTATTTTGAGCTCTTCCTTCTTCTCAAGCACAGCATTTATTCCTATAAACTTCCCCTTCTCGAGCTGTGTCTCCCAAGTTTGGGTATTTTACTTAACCATCATTTGTGTCTAAAGATAAAAGTTCTTGTGATTTCTTCTTTGGTCTATTTCTTGTTTAACATATTTAATTTTGACAAATTTTGTGAATTTTCTAAGTCTTTTTTCTGATTTCCTCCTCTTATGGTTGGAGATGCTCATATATTTCTCCCTTCTAAACTCCAGGAAGATTCAATTCTGGACTAACGGGATCTCCTAGAAATGTCCACTGTCCCACACATTTGAGAAGAATGTGTGTGTGTGTGTGTGTGTGTGTGTGTGAAAGAAAGAGAGAGAGAGAGAGAGAGAGAGAGAGAGAGAGAGAGAGAGAGAGAGAGAGAGAGAGAGAGTGTAGTTATTGAGTAGTACACTCTCCATATGTCTGTTAGATCAAGTTGACTTATTGTGTGAAGAGGAGGAGAAGGACGAAGAGGAGCAGGAGAAGGAGGAAGGGGAGGAGGAGGAGGAGGAAGAGGGGGAGGAGGAGGAGGAGGAAGAGGAGAATGTAGAGATGTATTCCTCTGAAGTGGCGCTGTGGCTCAAGTAGTAGTGCTAGCCCTGAGCTGAAGAGCTGAGGGACAGTGCCCAGGCCCAGAGTTCAGGCCCCACGACCGGACCCCCCCCCCAAAAAAAAGAGATGTATTCCTCTACATATTTTCTGTCTTGTTATGTTATCCATCATGGAAAACTCGGTATTTAAGTCTCCAACTATTATTGCAGAATTCCTTTCCTCCCTTTGGTTCTGTTTCTCTTCAGAAAGTGTGGTGATCTGTTATTTGGTACAGCAATGTTTATAACTATTGTATCATCTTGCTGTACTGAATCTCCTATTAATATATAAGGTCCTTTGTGTCTGTGGTAATCTATTTTTGATTTAACATTTACTTTATCAGATACTAGTTTGATCACTCTGCTCTCTTTGGACAACTAGCTGCATGGAATATATTTTCAAACTTTCATTTTTCCCTATCTGTGTCTGGAGTGCTATGAAACAGTATGGGTACCACATATTTTTAATTGGTTATATTTTATAATCCATTCTGGTGATCTTTCACTTTTGACTAAATAGCATTGAGTCCTCAGAAATAAGACAAACCTAAAAAAGACTCAGACAGAATAAGAAATGTTGGTCATCATCAGAAAGGGCGCAGATACCTTTATGTTGGGGTGCAGCCTCATTAACGCCTTCTTGCTATATTCACTGTTGATTCCAAGTGCAAGCTCCACCTCTTTATAAAGCATGATGAAGATCCGCACTCCCTGTTGCTGTTCCAAGAGAAAACAGAGGGGAGGAGGGATAAGCGTCTCCAAGGAGCCATGACTTCCCCATCTTCTCCTCCTCTGTGTTGGATTCCCTCTCTTCTATAACCTGGCTATTTAATGCAAAAGGCAACACCAAGAGTGATACATGACTATATATTAAGACCCATGAAAATGCAAAAGATAGAAGATTATCTCTCAAGCTAGGAACTGGTGGCTCACACCTGTCATCCTAACTACTTAGGAGGCTAAGATCTGAAGATGCAGTTCAAAGCCAGCCTGGCCAGAAAAATATGTAAGACTCTTCAACTAACCAACAAAAAATAAGTTATCTCTCTTCCATTCCTTGTGTGTGTGTGTGTGTGTGTGTGTGTGTGTGTGCGCACGCACGTGCACGCACGTGAGCTGGTAGTAGGGCTTGAACTCAGGCCCCTGATACCTTCACTTGGCTTTTCTCCTCAAGGCCTCACTTGCATATAATTGAGTCACACCTCCACTTCTAGATTTTTGGTGCTTCCTAAGAAATAAGAGTCTTACAAACTTCCCTGCCTGGGCTGGGTCTATTTGAACTCAGATCCTGAGATCTCAGCCCCTTGCATAGACAGGATTACAGGCATAAGCCACCAGCACTTGGCCGGCATTTTATCAAATGAATGGCCAACCAAGGCCATGACACCGTGTGCTGCTTTGGGGAACATTCCTAAGGAATATTCCCCAGGATCAAAAGAGGAAAAAAATTTATTAAAAAGAATATAAAGACTATAACAGCAGGACAGCACTTGACTAGCATGCATGGGATCTTGAGTTCGATCTTCAGTCCTAAAAAATAAAATTAAGCTGGGTGCCAGTGGCTCACACCTGTAAACCTAGCTACTCAGGAAGCTGAGATCTGAGGATTGAGGTTCAAAGCCAACTAGGGCAAAATAGTCCCTGTGGGGGGAAAGAAAAACCCAGAAGTGGCACTGTGACTCAAGTGGTAGAGCACTAGCCTTGAGCTGAAGAGCTGAGGAACAGGGCCCAGACCCGGAGTTCAAGCCCCATGACTGACCAAAAAAAAAAAAAAATTAACTTTTGCTACTACTGAACTTGTTTCCACTCATCAACACTTTTTTTTTTTGGGGGGGGGGGGGGGTTCCGGTCATGAGGCCTGAACTCTAGGCCTGGGCACTGTCCCTCAGCTCTTCAGCTCAAGGCTAGCACTCTACCACTTGAGCCACAGCGCCACTTCCGGCTTTTTTCTTTTTTGCTTATGTGGTGCTGAGGAATGGAACCCAGGGCCTCAGGCATGCAAGGCAAGCGCTCTACCACTGAGCCACCTTCCCAGCCCCTCATCAACACTCTTAGGTTCATTCTCTCTCCCACCCTTCACCTTGCTGCAGCCCTCCCTCCCCTCCTCCCACAGCATCCCTCCATCTGACTCAGCCTCTCCCTCCCTGCATACCCACTTACCACCCTCTAACTATCTGAATGAAGCTTTGCAGGATTGTTCAATTTTGTGAATGGAAACAAATTAGACAATCCATCAAAAGGATAATCACAACGAAACAACCCTCCCCACCCCCCACCGCCCGAAACAGCATTTGAGCGCTATCTAATTTCTTTAATTAGACATGAATATTAATATAACCCAGATCTAGTCTATTTAGTTTAATTTAGTCAAGGATCCATTATTTAAACAGAATTCACTAACCATGTAAATGTTGTCACTGGAGAGCCTGCATGGCTGTGATTATTTACTTTTTCTTACAAAAAGACCACAGTCAGTGTTTGCTCACAATCTACAGGAAATACTTCACGTTCTAACTGTGACATGCCCCGAAGGAGCCGGGACATCTTTGATTCTGTCCTTCTCCCACAACATCCCAACAAGCAGACACCCATCTCTGGGTTCCATTTGTCTCCTACACATGTGATCACATAAGGAACAAAATAAAAGTCTCTGTCTTGTTTCCCCGTTTATTATTCAATGATGAAGTTTTATTGCCAGTATTGGCCTATAAAATTAACTGGCCATAACTATCGAGCAGAAATTACAGATGGTAATATAATTCATGTTGCGAATTAGGTAGCCTCAAGTATTTATCCACTCAAAAGTAATAAGAAAAACAGTAGAACCAAACAAACCAGGAAACAGTAATAATCCTGATTGTTGCCAAACTCTAAAGCAAAATGTTGAGACTTCAGAGGCAGCATTCAAAAATTATAGCTTTTGTTAGTAAAACACTTACTGCTTTTCGTTTAAGAATGCAGTCCAGCCTCCAGCGATTTCCTTCAACCACAGGTCGTTTCAGGAAGATTTCTGGACTCAGCCTGAAGTCATAAAACCAAGTAAAAATTGTAAATGTTTTACTGTGTCATCAAAACCAATCACAGTTTCTCAGCAAATGCTATTGGCACCCTCCACTGTGGTAGGTGACCTTTATTGTAGATTACTGGAGTTGCCATGGGACATGAAGGAAGAAAAAAAAAAAAACAGAACTTTATCCATATAAAACATTTATTTCAGTGAGGGTATAGCCCAGTGATAGAGTATAGAGTATCTATGTGAACCTGGGTTCAATCCTCAGCACCAAAAAAATAAAATAAAAAATAAAAGCCTACCTCAATTTCTCTTTTATACACATGTAAATGGCAGTACTGCTGGTTGCCAGCCCAGTGTCCACACTCCCATGATTGCTGTTAAGGCCTGTCTCCTATGAGGCATATGTATATTCTAAATACTAGCTTTCTTAGACTCTTGTGCAGCTAAAGCAAAGGTGAGGTGGTCCTGGACAATGAGGTATGTAAGACAGATTTTCCTGGCCAGCTGCTGGTGGCTCATGACCAGAATCTTAGCTACTCAGGAGGCTGAGATCTGAGGATCACAGTTAAAAGACAGCCCAGGCAGGAAAGTCTGTGAGACTCATTTCTAACCACAAGAAAACCAGAAGTGGAGCTGTGACTCAAAGTGCTAGAGCACTAGCCTTGAGCAAAAGAGCTCAGGGATGGCTCCCAGGCCCTGAGTTCAAGCCCCATGGTCAACAACAACAGAAAGGACTTTCCTTCTTAATGGAACACACACACACACACACACACACACACACACACACACACACACACACACACACACACACACACACACACCACTGCAAGTACATATGCGCAGGAGCACAAGCATGCCACACCAGCAGAAGGCACTTCCAGCATCAGGCTGCATGACACTTGAAGAGGAGCAGCCACATGAAAGTTCTCAGGGAAAAAACCAGAGTCCTCTGCAATAAACTAGTCATGTCCCCAACCTTCAGCGCTGTTCCAGTGACTGAGACAAATCCTCACTGTTCCAGCCTCCTTCAAGTGATCAGAAAGCAGCCCCAGAGTCTACAGGGCCTGGAGGGGGGGGCCTCTCCCTCTGAACAGGGAAGGAGGAGGGACCCAGACACATGAAACTCTCCAAAGGCAAGAGCAATCCCTGGGCTCTTGTTCCCTAGTGGGGCCACAGGCAGCTAAGAGGACAGGTCAGTCACCTCTCCCCTGCAGTTGGGTTCCCACTTGGTGGGAGTGACATGCACACTTTAAGGTCCCTGTGGGGAAGGAAACACAAACAGGGGGTAAAAGCAAGCTCTTCTCTGAAATCTGAGGCCTGGAGGATTAAAGAAAGCCTCCAGAGAATTCCCGTGGGAACCGTGTCCTGCTTGCTGAAGTTCTCCACACAGGAACTAGACACATGGAAAGAAACCATTACTGTGCTCTATTTCATTCAGTGAAAAGAATTGAAAAATGAAGTTTCTAAAGGAACAGAATGGGCTAGGACCACTAAGGCAAGAGAGGATTCCACACAGCAAAAATGCTTATTATACATTTCATTTCGATTAGGAAAAAAGCCAAGAGGCAATTATAGGCAAACAAGAGGACGCACGGCAACTGGTGAAAGATCAAAGAACATGAAAATAAATCAGTTTTAAGTAGGGAAAACATCATGGTGCACCTTTGGCTCTCTGAAGGTGAAAGATAGCAGCTAATTCTGGGGCCTGAACTCAGGGCTTTGAGCTCTTGCTCAGAATTTGCACTCATAGCTAGTGAGGGCTCTACCACTTGAGCCACAGCTCCATTCCTGGCTTTTTGCTGGTTAATTGGAAATAAGAGTCTCTCAGAGTTATCTGACTGTGGGGAAGATCTTCAGTTCTGTCTACTGAGAAGTTAGGATTATAGATATGAGCTACCAGTGCATGGTTACTACAAATCTTTTTTTTTTTTATTTTGGCCAGCAAGGCTAGTGCTCTACCACTTGAGCCACAGCTCCATTTCCAGCTTTTTGTAGTTTATTGGAGATAAGAGGCTCATGGACTTTCCTTCCCAGCCTAGTTTTGAACCACAATCAGAGCTCAGCCTCCTGAGTAGCTAGGACTAGAGGTGGGAGCCATCACAAGCCGTTTTGATATACACATTAATTATGCATGAGGCAGCTTCAATTTGAGGGGATGTTTTAATAGTTTTTTTCTACAACTCACTTGGGAGCAGGATATTCTACTGGATATTTTGAAAGAGTGGAAGAGAGGTCTCAAATAGTCATAAATTTTAGAATGCAGGAAAAGACAGAAGAAGGATACTTGAGCTCTACACAAAGTGTAATTAGTGGCCACATGGCAGGGGAAGACAGTAATGACTCTCTGGCTATAATATATCAAGACAGTTTTTATTAATAAACAAGGTTAAAAGAATGATCTGCTATGACATTTTACTAGACCATGAACACCAGTAATCCTCAGATGCAACATTACTGTGTATCATTAAGAAACAGTTATAGAAATGATATCTGGGAGATGTTATTGAATACAGGATATATCTGAATTTCAGAGACCACAGATGTTAATATATGCCTTTATGTAAATTCACCCTGTAGAAGGTCCTATAGCTTTAAATATTTTTATGAAGAAATAAAATATTTAAAACCAATAACCAGAGCAGGGCTCTTATTTAAGTCAATAGAAAATGAAGCAATTACACTAAAAAGTGAGATGGAAGAGACTAATAAGAACTAAAATGGAAACGAGCTAAAAATGGAAACAAAGAACAAGAGAGATGGGCCAGGTATGGTGGCACATACCTGAAAACTCAGTTACTTAGGAGGCAGAGATCAAACTAGCCCAGGCAAAAAGTGCAAAGTTCTAAAAATAACTAACACAAGAAAAGCTCTAATAAGTTGTTACTGTTTCCAGCCACCCCCTCCCCCCCACACCCTGGTGCCAATCGTGGGGTATGAACTCTGGGCCAGGGCACTGTCACTGAGCTTTTGTTACCAAGGCTGGTGCTATACCACTTGAACTACAGCTTTTTTTGGTCCTTAATCAGAGATAAGAGTCTCATGAACTTTTCTCCCCAGGATGGCTTTGATCCTCAGACCTCAGTCTCCTGAGCAGCTAAGATTGCAGGCATGAGCCACTGGTGCCTAGCTGATATTGTTGTTTTAAAAAAGAAGCATAAATTAGCCATGTGATAAAATAAAAGGACAAGAAATTACTATAAGGCTTATAGACATTAACAAACATGAAAATAATATTAAATGGATAATAAACATTATAAATTACTATAGCAGTATTTGTGATAATTTAGATAAAATGGACAAGTCTTTGAAAAAAACAGTTTCTAAAATGGGAATGAAAATAGAAACTCTGATGAACCCTACATATCTATTAAAAACCCAAATCATTCATAATTTAAAGTTTTCCACAAAGGACATTACAGGCCCTGACACTTAACAGACGAAAATTTTCAAATATTTAAGGAAGGAATGTTGATCTTACCCAAACACTTTCAGAAAATAAAGGAGAGAGAACATTTACTAACTCTGTTAACATTTACTCAGCTAATGAGGCCACTCCAGCTGCTAAAAGACAATGCAGGAAGAGAGAAACACACTATCCCTGGTAAACAGCAAAGTGAAAATCTTGACCAAAACCTAGAAGCTGATCAATAGGACAACAGACCATGGTCAAGTAGGATTATTTTAGGAATGTGAGGTAGGTCTAAGAGTTTAAAACAATCAATATAATTTACCACATTGGGAGGGAAAATTAGAGAGAGAAAAAAAAGAAAAGACCAGTTCAAACAGTGAAGGAAAAACTGACAAAATCCAATTGCCATTCAAAATAAAAACATAACAAATCGTAAGTAGAAATAAATTGTCTCAGTAAAAGGCATCTATAAAAAATGCCTCTCACATTACATATGTTATAAAGCCCTGAATGCTTTCCTTATAATTCTTGGAATAGTACATGGAGATCTATATTACAAATTCTATTCAACATTATCCCTATGGCTCTGGCCAATGTGGTAAGGCAAGAAAATAAAATACAAAGCATGTCACTTTGAAAAGAAGAAGCTAAATAGTCTTTAGTCATAGGTTACATGATCATAGATGGAAAAAATTCCTAAGGAAGGTACAAACATGACAGCTAGAATGAATAAGTGAATTTAGCAAAATATGTGATTCATATACAAAGGTTAACTATATGTTTAGTTATTTATGCTCTCAGTGACTGACAAGAAAATGAAGTCTAAAGTATCACAACTATATGAAAGGGACGAAGTACTTAGTGACAAATTTCACAACATTTGCATAAGATCACTACACAGAAATGTACAGTACTGAGAAAAATGAAGTAAGATCTAAATAAATAGCGGAATGTATATTGTTCAATTGAAAGGCTCAATACTGAAAAAGAAACCCAGACCCAGAAGTGTATAGACTGAATGGCATATAGACTGCTTTTCTTTCTTTAGTTCTGTGGCCTGGACAACACTTCAAAATAAGATTGGCACAGAGAAAACTCTAGAATTCCTCTGGCTTGGGCTTGATGAGGGAGATGGGTGTTTTGTGCTGACAGTCTCCCTCCCTCTCCCTCTCCCTCCCTCCCTCCCTTCCTCTCTCTCTCTGAAGGGAACTTTGCACCAGATGGAACGAAGTGTGATGTGTGTGCTCAAGCTGGCTCTTCCCAGTGGTGCAGAGCTGGTTAAATCAAACTCACCTCTCTAAACAATACTGAAATGAGGAGCTACAGGGAAGTAGAGAGATACTGAGAGATCATAGAGGGTGGTGGAGTCCAGAAAAGCAACTTCAAAAAGGTGCTTATCATCTTCTGACTTAGCACAAGCTGTCCACTGGATCCTAAGAGTTTAGGAAGCTGAGCACCTGGGTTCAGTGTGGCCGCTAGGTGGTGCAGTGTATGTACAACAGATCAGACCACCACAGCAGAGACAAAAACAAAAAAAGTAAAAACCCACAAGTTACATTAAAACCACACCCCTGGTGGGCTGGGTTAAACTTTCTGCCTAAACCCAAATAAGCCAAATGCTGACCAAAACAAAAGTAACATTAGATTCCAACAATACTAAGAGTTATAATATTAAAATTTTCTAAAGTACCAAATTACTGCAGAAATCACGAGGAAGCAGATGTCAACAGCAAGCTGGATGTTTATCTAGTTTAATTTTCTTTTAGATGAAACAATGTTAAAAATAAGGGAAACACTCATGAAATGACCAGAAAATAAGTCTCCATAAAAAAACAGAAGCTACTAAGAGAAGAAAATTTCAAAATGAAAATTTCAAAATGGAAAAATCCACTGCTCAGTGGGTATCTATTACTACAATAAAGATAATAGAAGAATTCAGCAGTAAATTTGAAAATAGACAAATGGAAATTGTTCACTCTAAACAACAAGATATTTCTTAATGAATAGGGCCTCATAGACTGTGGAACTGTATTTAACAAGCAAAACAAATTTTCAAAAACAACACTTTTAAAATGTGTTATTAGAGTTGCAGAAGAAGGAAAAGAAGAAAACACAAAAAAATCTGAAGAAATAATGGTGAGAATTACTCAAATTTGGCTAAAGACATAAAATTACAACCACAACCAGTGCTCAAAGTACCTCAAGCAGAATAAATTCAAATATATAACCAAACTGAATGTAAATTAAACAGCAGGCGCATTTGAAAGCACTCAGGAGAAAAACAACATATTGTTTAGGAGGGGGGTCAATCACTAAGTGACTGCACATTTCTTATCAGAAATCATGAAAGCTAAAAGGTAATAGAACAGTTACTTTTAATTACAATATATAAAGATATCCAACAACTGAAAAGACAAACAACCCCATACGTAAAAAGATCAAACGGTACTAGGTACTGGTGACTCAAGCCTGTAATCCTAGCTACTCAGGAAACTGAGATCTGAAGATCCTAGTTCGAAGCCAGCCCAGGCCTCCAATTAATCAGCAGAAAGCTGGAAGTGGAGGCATAATTCAGGTAGCAGATGCCAGCAATGAGCAAAAAACCTAAGTGAGAGCACAATGCTCATAGTTCATTCCCTAGTACCTACGCCATAAAGAAATTCTGAACATGGAAAGGAGGAGGAAGAAGAGAAAAAAATGTGACCATATATTTCCAAAAAAGTTAAAGAGCATTCATGTGCCATCATGAAGACAGGCTGCTGATACCAAATAAAACCAATAAAGTGCTAGTGCACACCATGAAGATTTCATTTCAGACCTAAATGTAGTGAGAGGTTATCCAAGTGCAGTAATAAATAGAAATCATCCGATTCAGTCTCTTGTTGAGTGTTAAGAAAAATATCATTGTAGGTTCCATCTCTTTATATATTTGCTTATGTCTATGTTTCAGTGTTTATTGTCTTCAAAAGGGATATTATTTTCTTGCAAAAAGCATAAAAGATTATTGGCTTGGGAAAAAAAAACATTCTATCTCTGTTTTTCTCTCTCTCTCTTCTCTTACACACACACCCACATTTGCCAAACTTGCAAAAAATATTCTTAGGGATATAGTGCTGCATTAAGATTGACTTTTTATTGCCTTGTGTTTCAAATATATTCAACAGCATCAACACAAACCTTCTAAGTGCGAAGCCATATTCCTTTGTAGTAAGTGAAAAGACAAACTTGGACCAGGATATGAAGACCAGGACTAAGTTTAGCATCACAGGAGCATCAGGGACATGCCCTCCTTATCTAGTCACTATAGATGCTGCTGCTGCTGCAGGACCCTCCTCTACTCCAGGGATGAGGACAAGAGACAATGGGCTTTCTCTCTGGCGCCAGCAATGGGGGTGGGGAAGGAGTTGCTAAGCACCCTACAGTGCACAGGACCACTCCCATAGTGGCAAGATGGAAGACCATTCAGGAATTACTCCACGTGAGTGAGTCAAGCAGAAAAGGTCAGATAAGTTGATGTTAGGGAAATGAAACCTAAGATATGTATTCAAATGTTTTTTTTTTTCTTTCATGTGATTGTTTCTAACACATTTATAAGATATTTTTTTGTTGCTTTGTATGTCCCTCCCCCACAGTATAACCCTGCTTTCACTGTATATGATGTTGGTATAATTTGTGGAGGGGAAGGGAAAAAACAAATCGTTAAAACAGGGATACAGGTGGACCCATTGCAACAATGAGATGTACAAGTCGTTATGTCAAAAACGAACTTTACAACTTTGGCAGGGGTGGGGAAGGAGGATTGGGTGGGGGGCGGTGGGGGGAGTGGGCCTCCCCACCCAATGGGTTGGGAAGGGGAGACAAAGGAGGAGGCTACAATGCTTGATAAGAAATGTACTCATTATCTTGCCCATGTAATTGTAACCCCTCTGTACAGTATTGTTACAATAAAAAAAAAAGAAAACCCATGAAAAATCAGTTCACCTCCCTATTATTTCCTCAACCTCTATCTTCTATAGTTAAAAGAAAATAAATTACAATGCTATTTCCAAATTTCATCTGTAAGATCATATTTGGAAGGAAATAGGCTACAGACAAAGAAAGAGCATTTCAGGCAACTAAGAAGATCCCAGAAAGAAATCATATTTTAGATACTTCCATTTCATCTGGACACTTTTAGTCCCTACAATGGGTCTTAACTGTCCAGGCAGATGGGAACTCAAGCCACATTACAATATTCTCACAAACTTTAAGAGCAAAAATTTCAAAGAGCCAGGGAACTTTAGGTCCATGGCTTTAGTAAGCAATATCACTTCCACAGATGATCTTAAAGAGGGTCTAAAAGTTAAAATCTGAGTTATCACCAGAAGAGTTGGCTGGGCCTGGTCATTACCGAAGACATTTGAATTGTAACAGACAAATGAAAGATTTCAACTGCAGAGAGACAACCAGAAGTGTGGTCACTGGACCAGATGACAAACATGCACAGAGGAGAGACCCCCAAGGAGCATCAGCTTCTGTCCTCTCCATAGCAACACCTAGAACTGGCTAGTATCCACTACGATAAGCAAGCACATGGGTATCTGCTTCCAACCAGAAAGGTAAAGATGAGGTCATTCAAGCTAAATATTATAAGATTATATGTTTAGAGGCCGAGTTTGTTTGAATATTGGAGGCTGTAAGTAGTTGGTTGTGACCTGGGTCAAACAATCTGTGGGCCCCACTAGTTTTCATGATGAAGGGTTCTGAATGAACATGGCACCTTGGTCAATTGTAAATATAGACAATTCATTTTCTTGGGTGAATACTAACCACCAGTCTGTGATAAATATCTCCTCGCTGGCTTCTTCCATTGCATTTGCCACGTCTTCAAAATATCCCTTGGCGTTAACATACCTGAAAGACACAGGGTTGGGGATTCTGTTTTTGGATGATTTTGTTCAACAAAGCAAAATGAAAATGAGCATACCCTACAGTAAAACAAGACATAAACGACACTGTCTGATCTATAGCATCGTCAGGTTTTTGCTCATGTGCAAAAGGAAAGTTAAAATTAAAAACACACCATTCTGCCTATCACCTAGGAAGGGCAGAAGGCAGAGAGACATGAGCAACCTAATTCTTCTCTTCTCAGAGAACAAATGGACTGAGCCTCATTATCAGAGGGGACAGATGAATTCTCCTATCCTATTGAACGTTTGGAACTGAAAAACAGATTTTCATCCATGGCAGACAGGCTTGGTATGATTTTTATTTGAAAGAAACATCTCAGCAAGAGACTCTCTTACGTTAACCAGCAAAAACTCTGGCTACAGGTTTGGCTTAAGTGGTAGAGCCAGCTCTGAGTAGGCAAGCCAAGCAAGTTCAAACTTCAGTCCCATAATAAAATATGGTGCCAGGGGCCAGTGGTTCCTAACTCCTAGCTAAGCTACTCAGGAGGCTGAAATCTGAGGATCAGGGTTGAAGTCAACCCAGATAGAAATGTCTGTGAGACTTTTATCTTCAATTAACTACCAAAAATAATACAGAAGCTGGGCACTGGTGGCTCATGCCTGTGATCCTAGCTACTCAGGAGGCTGAGATCTGAGGATTCCGGTTCAAAGCCAGCCCAGGCAGGAAAGTCTGTGAGACTCTTATGTCCAATTAACCACCAGAAAACCGGAGGTGGGGCTGTGGCTCTAAGTGATAGAGTATCGACCTTGAGCAGAAAGAGCTAAAGTACAGTGACCAGACCCTGAGTTCAAGCTCCACAACTGACAACAACAACAACAAAAAAGCTGGAAGTAGAAATGTGACTCAAGTTACAGATCAGTAGTCTTGAGCAAAAAAGCACAGGGGGGGGGGGGGGGAGACATAGTAGGAAGTAAATTCAATTCCCCAAATTATGGGTAACGAGCTTTCACTTTATATCACTAAAAAACAATATGAAATTAGCACTAACTTTAAAGTAGCTACATTCACAGTGAAAAACCTTACAAACAAAATTAGGGAAATGACTCTTCAGTCACATGTCCTCAGCTCCAGGATGGCCTCCATGCAAACCTTGTTTGATACAATCTCCTCAGGGTTTTGAAAGTGGATTCCACGTGAATTTATACCCCTGTGACTTCAGATGGCTCCCGTGGACCCCTGGTGAGCCCAGGAGAAAGAGCCCCTTACCATTTGGCTAATGTGTTCTCCTGGATGGCTGCATAAGATCCAAATCGGTGATCTTTGAGAAAGTTGGTGCCGTGTTTCTGGATGAACTCTTCTATGGCCCCTCCCCACCACCGAGCGTGTCGGTAGCTGTTGCATTTTAAAATAAGTGTCCTTTAATGAAAGGGAAAGTGGTACAACATTGTAAGTGTGTGTGGAAATGTCATGATGAAATCCACCCCCTGCCTAACTAATGTATGCTGATCAGCATTAATAACATCAAAGGCAAAATGTGGGCCAAGTGGTTACTGTGTCATTGAGCATGCCCTGTTTGATTTGGAACCATAGCAAACGAATTGAAGTCCATCCCTGGGCATCTGGAGAGACCATCCTGATTATGGTTTAGGAGAGTCATTTCTTCTCCTTGCTAAGTCCTCCAAAAGCTAAGAAAATGCCATAGTTCATCCCTCTGATCCCAGAGCAGGTTTTAGAAGATCATGAGTCAATTCCAACTAGAGAGAACCTCAGAGGACTTGCACAGAAATTGGGAAGGAAAATAGCACTATCTCAGCTACTGCATATGGTGTGAAGCTAAGAGGCAGGCAGCCATCTTGTTCCAGTGAAGGAGCCAGCTGTAGGGCTGGGGCAGATCCACAAATGACAGAGAGAAGAAAAACAAGCCCAGCATGGGTGACTGACTCCCTCGGGTATAAACAAGTTTGTGTTTTTCTGGCACAAATAACTAAACTTGAAAATTAATAAACAGCTGAAAACAAATTTTAGAATAGATTACAGGAGGCCAGGTAGAGTAGCCCACACATGTAATCCTAACAAATGGGACCCCATTGGGGGGAAGGGAGGAGACAGCTCCAACCTTGGAAGCTGGGGAGCCAGGATGAAGAGGCCAGGATGTACTGGGAAGAAGTTGCAAATAAAGCAGAGATATGGGGCCTTGAATTACCCCTGGAGTTGTTGGAGTGCATGTGCCAGGAAGGAGTCTGGGGAAACCCAGGAGGAGACTGGGAAACCTAGCCTGGAACAGATCCATTTGGCCATGAAGCTCATACAAGAAAGAGAGGGAGGGGAAAGGGAGAGTTATGGGGACCAATGTGAATGTGGCCCAGCCCTTGTGGGCCTGTGGAAAGCAGGAGATAGGGGCCAGCCCGAGGCTGAATAGCAGCATCATGGTGCTTCCAATAACAATCTGAAATATTCCCTTCTCATAGAGAAACAGGATCTTGATATCCACAGCCATACAGCATGCATTAGTGATGACATATGTATCTTTGTATAAACTGTGTAAAGAGAAATGATATAAATTCATATACATGAGATATAGAGATGAATGCAAGTACACACACACACACACACACACACACACACACACACACGTATACAGGGCATGATTACTATCTTCCAGAACGAAACATATCAACACACATGCACATAAGAGTAAAATATAACATATAAATAACTATAATACTCAAGTGTATATTTGAACTTGAGTATTTTTTCTCAAAAATCTATATATAAACAGGATTTCTGTAAATCACTTTTTAGATTAAAAAAATTATTATTGGATATTTATTGATTTATAAATGAAAATTTTATTATTTTTATACCATAAATGATTACTTTTTTGGCTACTTTGGTAAACTGGTAAATGGAGTAGAATGTTTTGTTAAAGTATTGACATGCAGAGTCATTAATTCTGACTGTGTTATATAAATGGTACTCCATTCTTACAAATATATTCAAGGAAGCCAGTTGGGGTGGGGTACATCTGTAATCTCAGCACTCAGGAGGCTGAGGTGGTAAGATCCCAAATTTTAAGTCAGCCTGAGATACATAATGAGACCTTATCTCAGAAAAAGCAAGGGCTCAGCCGATACAGCACTTGCCTAACGCATAGAAGGCCCAGGGTTCAACTACCAGTGCAGAAAAACAAGACATGTCATATTTGTACACATATACACACACACACACACACACACACACACACACACGTCTTGCTTTCCTGCATATACATTTATATACGCATATATATATACACACACATATATATGTGTATATACACACACATATATTTCCTCACTTCTGATTCAGGATGTGTTCTAAACAACAATTTTCTAATATTTATTCAACTCTCTTCTCCCTTAAAGCTGAAAGAAAACCTCTGTTTTTAAGAGACTTTGACAGGAATATTTTCTTTAATATCTGGCATTTCTACCTTGAAAGATTATCGATTCGAACGCCGTACTTGGTTTCTGTCTCCTTCCGCCCCACCTTGATCTGGAACTCCTTGTCCACCAGCAGGACAAAGGCGATGGCCCCGCTGTCGGGTTTCATGTAGAGTAAGAAGGAATCTTTCACTATCAGCCACCTGCATGAGGGGGACAGACATTTTATGTGAACCTGCAAGAATAAATGGTTATGACACTAGCAGACAGTGTACTAGAACAGTGCTCTGTTTTACATGGGGATTTATTGTTTAAAAATCACTAAGAAACAATGGCTGGGGATGTGGCTCAGTGGTAGGGTGCTTACTGAGCATGTGTGAAGTATTGAAATAGAAGGAAAAGAGGCAAGGAAAAGAAGGCAGAGAAAATGGAGAGTGAAGGGAGAAAAGTAGCATTACCATGAACGCAAATACCACTACACCATTTCTACTATCTTTCACCAAGAATTGACAGTACATTATTCAACACAGCTCATTAGTTCGTCAGCCTCTAAGGATGCAGCCCTGGCATGGGCATGAGTCTGGTGGTGGACAGAGGACCCCAGCCTTAGAAGGATACATTAGGTTGCTGTTGACTAACATTCACTATCATGGAAGAGGCAAACACATTTATTGATCTAAAGAGAAATTCCCACTTACAAGACCAAGCCAGCAACCAGTGTTTCACATTGTCTATTGTTCCTTACACATTAGTTGTGGTTTAAGAAATGTTGAGAAGCTGGGCACTGGTAGCTCATGGCTGTCATCCTAGCTACTCAAGGAAGCTGAGATCTGAGGATCACAGTTCAAAGCCAGCTTAGGCAGGAAAGTCTTTAAGACTCTTATCTCCAATTAACTGGCAAAAATCCCAGAAGGTAGAGCTGTGGTTCAAGTGGTAGAGCACGAGCCCTGAACAAAATCAAAAAGCTCAAGGATAACACCCAGGTGCTGAGTTCAAGCCCCAAGACTGGTTAAAAAATGAAGAAGGAGGAGGAGGAAGAGGAGGAGGAGGAGGAGGAGCACGAGCAGGAGGAGGGGAGACCTTTGATAAATATTAGCAGAACAAGCATACATTACTGTGCTTTATAGTGACAACTCAGTGAGGGTAGGCACAGGCTGGCACCAAGGATGAACATCCCAATGAGTCTCTGCTTTAGAAAGGATGAAGGGGAAGAGGGCTTGGTACAGATTGGTACCCCAATCTCAGAGAATTTCTAGCAAGTTCATGGTTGTTGACTGGGCTAGCACCCACTTTCTGAGCAGTAAAGATAAAGGTGGCAGGTTCACACTTATCATGGGGAGAGCAAGAAAGAAGAGACAGGAGCGGATTACAGTGTGTGCTTGCATCACTTGGCATGCCAATGCCATATTTATCAGATGGAAAGACACCATGTATTTCCCACTGCCTGTCACTGCATGCTGGTCCAATGAACCCACTCAGAATGGAATAAAGCAATGAAAGGCATGATGTGACCCATCTGATAGAGCAAAGCACTCTGGGTAACTGCATGTGATAGAGCAGGAACTGGGGCTTGAACTCAGGGCCTTTTGCTCTCTCTTGCTTCTCTCCCTCCAGGCTTATACTCTGCTACTTGAGCCGCACCTCCACTTTCAGCCTTTTGTTGGCTGATTGCAAAGTCTCTTGAATTTGTCTGCCCATGTTGGCTTGCATCTGTGATCTTCAGATCTCAGCCTCCTGAGTAGCTAGGATTATAGGGATGAGCCACTAAAGTGGCTCAGACATGTAGCTACAGCTGAGCAAACTTGGCTGAGGCAAAAAGACAAGATGGAACCCCATTTATAGGAAAGTTCCCTCTTTTGTCTGGCCTGTGGTGCAATCCAGAGAGCAGACATTGTAACCCTGGCTCGGCTGTCTGGCATTGCTGTGTTACACTGCTGACCAGGAAGGGGCATGGGCTCTGGAAGCCATACTGGCAGCTAACAGCCTGGGAGCTATGTCAAACACGCTGGACATGCAGCTTTGCCTGTGTGGAAGTCAAGGGGATGTGAATGCCATCAGCTAGAGCTTGGACCAAGCGCGCCCAGCATGGGTACTGCAAAACAGATAGGAGAAATATTCCAGAGACCCAGGCTCCTGGCGTAATCCCAGGGCCAAGGGCAGCAGAACACGTCCTTAGGTAGAAGAAGCACACAGGTGTCCTTGTGCGGGTGTGCAGGGTGCATGGTACCTGCTATTGAGGCTCAGCAGTGGGGTAAGGGGGAGCAGGAAGCAGGCTGTGTCCACCTGTCAGAATGGGGAGCTTTGCTCTCATTCACACGGAGACTCCAGTAACGGAAATAAAATGAATGCATTCTGCCCAAGCAAGGCTCAACTCCACAGGTGAGTTGTACCCTAAATGGAAGCTCCCCTGCTCCCCCAATGTGGGCAGGCTGGAATGCCATTTGTGAAACTCTTTTCATGCTTGCCCTCCCCTTGTTTTTTGGTCAATAATTTTTCTTTCTTTCTTCCTTCCTTCCTTCCTTCCTTCCTTCCTTCCTTCCTTCCTTCCTTTCTTCCTTCCTTCCTTCCTTCCTTCCTTCCTTCCTTCCTTCCTTCCTTCCTTTCTTGATTTGTACTAGGACTTGAACTCAGGGTCTCATGCACTCACTCGGCTTGTTTTCTCACAGCTGGCACCCTTTCCACGTGAACCATGCCTCCTTTTTGTCATGGTGATCCAGTCTTGCAAACTTTTCTTCCTCAAGCTGGTTTTAAACCACAGTCCTCCACATCTCAGCCTCCTGAGGAGCCTCTTTAACAGGAGGCAGAGGACTGGAGCTCTTGCCCTGGGGTCCACCTCCCCAGGCTCCAGTCCCAGCTGGGCCCTTTCTTCAGCTAACTCCCCTGCTGTTCTCTCCCACTGTGCTTCAGACTTGCCAAGCCTGCTCACTTTTTAGCTTTCACATTTGCTGTGCTTCTGTCTAGAACATTCCTTCCAGATCAGCCCACAGGGGCTCTGATATTGCTGATCAGAGCCTTAGCTTAAACATCTCTGTATAGGAGACCACTGCCAACCTCCAAACATGGTCCTCCATCCCCTGTAAGTAGTGGTTGCTGTAATGCGTCACAGTGTGGACGACAGTATTTAAACACGGTCACTGCCTAACATGTTCAGAAATGCATTTCTTAACATCTCCGCAGTTCTCTCCCTTAAAGCATTATTTGAGCTGAGAAATTCAACTTCTAGTCTATGGCCAAGGGCAGAGAATTTGCTCTTAGAGCAGATGTTGGACACCGTGGGAGAAAGTGTTTCCAAAGATTGTGTTTTAGGGTTTTCTTTCTACTTGCCCTGGGGACAGGACGGCTCTTAAAGGGAGTTGGAGTTTAACAGCTCTGTTTGCTTTATCTCCATGTGTCAAGCCAGGATAAACAAGGGATCAGGTAGCTTTCTGTCTCACATAAGACAAAAGAGAGCTGTGAAAGTCACCTTTGAAAGTGAATCCCAAGCCAGGCACCAGTAGTTCACACCTGTAATCCTAGCTACTCAGGAGGCTGAGATCTGAGGATTGTGGTTCAAAGCCAGCCTGGGCAGGAAAGTCTGAGGGACTCATCTCCAATAAACCACCAGAAAACTGGAAGTGGCCCTGTGGCTCTAAGTGGTAGAGTGCTAGCTTTGAGTGAAAAAGCTCAGGGACAGCACCCAGGCCTTGAGTTCAAGCCCCAAGACTCACCAAAAAAAAAAAGAAAGTAAATCCTAACAAAATAAGTATTAAAAAAAAATGGGCATATAAAGAAAGGGAGGACAGGGCCATTTGTGCAGACATGAGTTTTTGATACCATGAAATTGAGAAAAATAAGGGAAGGGGTGAGTTGGGAAGGGTGGGTGAGATTACTGAAAGCTGTGATCAAGATACACTGTATTCATAACCTGCATCCTTGAATGGCAATTCCTTTGTACAACTATCTAAAGATAATAAACATATTTTTTGTTGTTGTTGTTGGTCGTGGGGCTTGAACTCTGGGCCTGGGCTCTGTCCCTCAGCTCTTCAGCTCAAGGCGAGTGCCCAACCACTTGAGCTACAGCGCCACTTCCGGTTTTCTGGTGGTTTATTGGAGATAGGAGTCTCACGGTCTCTCCTGCCCGGGCTGGCTTTGAACCGCGATCCTCAGATCTCAGCCTCCTGAGTAGCTAGGATTACAGGCGTGAGCCACCAGCGCCCGGCTAATAAACATATTTTTTAAAGTAAATCCCACTTAGGCATGGATAGTCTGCTACAATGAGAAACTTCCTAAACTAATCTTGTCAGCTAAACGTTACCATTTATATGATATTTGAAATCCATCAAATGTGATTCCAGATTGATGAATATGGACGCAAGGCTTTAATTTTCACAGATTGACACAATTTAAAATATGATGCATTTCCTTGTAGGAAGGATTATTTTTTTTATCGTCCTGGTTGAAACATGATTTAACATAAAGTTTTTTAAAGGGCATATTTCTTCTAGATAGCCAAGTCTTTCCCTTGCTTTCCCTGCTCCTATTTCTCGCAGAAGTTATAACTCAAGAGTCAGCTCCTCCTGGAGCCTTTCCTTGGCCTGGTGTAGTAGCTCATGCCTGTAATCCCAACTATTTCAAGAGAAGGAGACAGGAAGGATCCACAGAAAAAAAGTTAGCATAACCCGTCTCACCCAAGTTGGGCACAGTGTGACATAAATAGGAGGCTAAATAGGAGGATTGTGGTCCCAGGTTTGTTCCAGACAAAAATGTGAGATCCTATATAAAAAAATAACTAAAGCATAAAAAGAGAGCTGAAGGTACAGCTCAAGTGGTAGAATGCCTGCCTAGCAAGAATAAGGCCCTGAGTTCAAATCCCAGTGCCCTTACAAAAAGAAGCTTTTCCTTGTACAGCTTTTCCTTAATTGTGTGTTCACTAGCCTGCAGCCATTTTTCTTCCAAAGCTTTCATCACTCTTGGGATTTTTATCAACTTCCTTCCTGCCGAGCTCTGGGAGAGTGGGATCTGGCTTGCACAATGGCTATAAGACACCCATGAATGACCCAATTCACCACCAAGGCTTCTTTCTGTTTCCTGAGTGGCTGCTTAGCGGTGGGGTGCCCCTGAGGTAAGCTGGAATGAGGCTGAGATGTCTCCAGCAGCTCATCAGGAGCTAGCAGGGAGGTGGAGGCTGGAGGAGGCAAGGAAGTGCTGTGGGTGGTGTTAAAGTCACCTTCCTGCTGGACTGCTTTAGGAGACGGCTCAGAACATGCTGAAGATTCAGCACAATCCAGGAGAGAGCTGACATTGAGTCAGAGGAGAGGATGGTAATGTTGACATTTCTATTCTGCCCTGAACACCAGCAGGGAGCTCTTACATCCCAGAGCGTCTCTGGATAAAAGACCACTGGTTGGAGATGTTGTGGTTAGACTAGCAGCTGACTTAGACACAGCAAATGCCCAAGGAGATCCAGCACAAGGAATCTGTGCAGGGTGGCAGAGGGTTGGGAGAGGCCTGGGCTGGGACAGGGAGACCTGACAGGAGTAGGCTGGGAGTCCTCCTTCCTAATTCTGCTAAGCATTGGGTTTCTACTCCTGTAGGCCTGCATCTGGTTGCCATGACAATGTGCAGCTGGGACATCCTACAGCGGCTCTCCCCTGCTTTCTTCTACCCTTCCTCACTCAGCTTCCTGGTACTACCCAACTTCACAAACTTCTGTGCTCCCATAAGCTCAAGTAAGTCATGGGGTTCCTCATAATTTGGGGTGAGAAATCTCAAGTGGGAGTCTCTGGACTTCCTTGATATCATACCCCAGATTTACTCAAGTTAAGAGTTCATGTGAAAACAAAAAACCATTTCTAGAATCTTACTGTCATTTATAAGAGAAATGTTCTGTTTTCTTCAGTTTAATCTTCTGATCTTTGCCTTGTAATTCCAAACTCAGAAAGTAAAAGCCCAATTTGATGGTAATTTCTCTCGGTCATATGTTTTTTTATGTTTAGAAGTAGATCACTATGTTAGTTTTATATGTTTTAAATATACACAAAGCTCAATTCTGCATTTACATATGAGCTCATTTATCGTTTTCGAGGGAATTATACAGAAATAAAAAATTATGTATGTATACATACACATTTCTTTTTTTTTTTTTTTTACGTTCTGAAGTTTTAACACAGGTCCTCAAACTCATTCAGTTTACCAGCTCATGGCTTGTATACTACCACTTGAGCTAGGCCACCAGTCCAGCTTTTTGCTGATTAATTATGGATGGAATTTTGTGGATTCTTCTACTTGGTCTGACTTCAAACCTTGATCCTCTAGATTTCTGCCTTCTGAGTAGCTAGGATGACAGTTATGAGCCCCTAGCACCCGGCTTGATGTTGAACATCTGTTCATCTGCTCATTGGCTATTAGCATCTCTTCTCTGGCTGACTGGGTTATGTTTGCTTCCTTCCTTCCCTTCTTCCCTTCTTTCCTTCCTTCTTCTCTCCCTCCCTCTCTCCCTCTCTCATCTCTCCTTTTATTTTTTGGATTGAGAGTCGAACCCAGTTCCTTTGCACATTTTAAGCACCTACACTACTAGTCCACCCTTCCCTATGCCCCCTCCTGCTGTTTTTTAAAAATGTATTTAGTATGTTTCAACCACCTCGTATAACCTTTTTGAAGTTCAGAAATAAACACTCCCCCCAAATATCTTGCTTATTAAACAAAGTCAAAACTCTGAAGTCCTACCTTTTTGACCATCGGTAGCACGCCCTTCCCTGGCCACAGCAGTTCAATCCTGGAATTCTGTGTCCCCCAGATCTTTTCATGACCATTCCTTCTCTAAAAGAGACATCGAATTATCCCATCATTACCCCATCCTCTTCAGACTTTCGAGTCACTTGGGGCCACAGAACTGTGTGGCTCTTATCTCACTTTCCCTTTCCTCTTCCCCCTCCAATCACAGTTCTCTTTCCACCATGTTTGTTAGCTTGGAAACTCTGGCAGCCAACCATAGAAGTGCATGAGTCAGAAACAGCCCTTTTAACATTTGAAGCTGTGAAAATTTGTCAGACACGAATTCAAGGCCTCCAGACATTCCAGCTCCTGGCTCTAGATACTGAAGGTTCCAACCTTGACAACCTAACACAGACCCAATGCAGCTTAATGTATGAAAATGTTATCATGAGGCCTATCCTTCTGTACAACTAACATACCCTAATGAAGAAATGAAAAGAAAAAAAAAGGACTCCGTGTATTTCTCTGGGGCTCTACTGCTGTTAAGACACAGGGTTCACCCCTCATATCCCAGCCCACCTCTGTACCCCCACATACTTAGGTCCAACAACTGAGTCCGGCCCAAGGAAGTAGAGTGAAGCTACTGGCTACTAGTATTGCTTTGTTAAGATGGCAGCTCCTTTGTACAACTACTTAAAGAGAATAAAAAACTAACTATTATAAAAAAGAACATGCTAGTTTCTTGATTTGGAAAGACATGACAAAGAAAGCAATCACCACTAAAGAAACAAGCAATTTTGAAAGAATTAGCAGTTTTTAACTTACTAAACATAAAATTTTAAGCTCTTTTTATGATTAAGATCCAATCTTATAAGGGAAAATAAACATGTAACAAATTCCCATCTAGTCACACATCATATTTTTACATAGAATTATTGTTAATCATTATCAAAATGAATGATGGTTAAATAGGTAACTTCCAAATGTGATTACAAGAAGGGATCTTCTATTTACTGAAGGATGAATGAGCAAGTTCTTTCAGTTACTCTAAGTCTACTGGAGAGAAAAGCCAACGTCAAATGCCAATCAACTTTTCACATTCTCTAAAGACCCAATATGGGAACTTACAGGCCCTTTGGTCCCAAATCACGGATAAAAGACAGCTGGCTTATATCAAGGAATTCTGTCTGAAAAGAAGAAAAAAATATCTTTAGAAAGCAAAAGAGAAAAACTTATGCATTACAAAAATATGGACTAATACTGTGACATATCAACCATGGTGACTTTATAGATAGGAAGATCAATAACAATGGTATTGCTCTAAGATAAGGTTGAGCCAGGGCCCTAGTGGCACACACCTGTAATCCCAGCTTCTCAGAAGGCTGAGATCTGAGGGTTGTGGTTGAAAGTGAGCCCAGGCAGACAAAATGGAAGAGATCTTATCTCCAGCTAATCAATCAAAAGAGCGGGATGTAGAGGTGTGGCTCAAGTGGTAGAGAGTCCGACTTGAGTGGAAAAGCTAAGAGAGAATTCAAAGCCCTGAGTTCAAACCCCAGTACCAGCACAGGGGAAAAAACTTAAAAGAAAGAAGGGGGAACAAGGAGGGTTCATGTTTGCCTATGTCTTTAGACCACATCAGAGACACCCTGGATAGAAAGGCAAGGACAAAAACAGATGTGTTCCCAGAGTGTAGAAGCAGCGGGAAGGGAGAGGAGACATGGAACCACATCTGAGGGAGGAAGCTGCCAGTTTCCAGTTAGGTGTGGGAGCCTTCACATGAGGCCATGCATGTCCTGGCTGAGGTGACCTCAGGATTGTAACTGGAGTAACTGGTGTAAGTTACTGGTGCCTTCCAGGATTGTAACTGGGAGTAACAAAATCAAGCAAGCTGTCTTTGTGATTTCTTATATGTATGTGATCAGAGTGATCTAATATTAACTTTGTAAGAAAAATAATAAATATCACAGAGAGCTGTCAGTCCTTGTAAGGTGAAGTTTAATAAAATGCTTGTAGTTCTTTCTTTTTCTTGGGGATATTTGAAGAAAATGGTATCTTTAAGTTTTAAATGGACAACTTTTCTTTTAAATCCTGAATTAAAGCTATGTGCACAAAGTACTTTTCAAAATAAAGACACTAAAAGTTGAGGCCTTTATGAGTCATGTGGTTTTTTTTTTAATATAAAACATGGGTCATTTAGCAGTATGTATTTTTTGTTTGATTTGTGAAAATATTTTTTTATTCGGTCATGGGGCCTGAACACTGGGCCTAGACACTGTCCCTCAGCTCTTCAGCTCAAGGCTAGTGCTCTACCACTTGCGCCACAGTACTACTTCTGGCTTTTTCTGCTTATTTGGTGTTGAGGAATCGAACCCAGGGCCTCATGCATGCAAGGCAAGCACTCTACCACTGAGCCACTTTCCCACCCTCTGACCTGTTGCTTATCTTTGCAATTGAGCTGGTTTTTTTTTCTTGGGGGGGGGGGTTGGATTTTTTTTTTTTGCCAGTCCTGGGGCCTGAACTCTGGGCCTGGGAGCTATCCCTCAGCTCTTCAGCTCAAGGTTAGCACTCTATCATTTGAGCCACAGCACCGCTTTCAGCTTTTTCTGTTTATGTGGTGATGAGGAACTGAACTCAGGGCCTCATGTATGCAAAACAAGCACTCTACCACTGAGCCACCTCCTCAGCCCCATTTTTGTCTTTATTTTTGTGTTAGCACAATGATTGAACTCAAGGCTTGAACTAATTCTTGCTCAGCTTTTCCCACTTATGGCTGGTGTTCTACTACCTGATCCATGCCTCCAGTCTAGTTTTTTGGTTGTTATTAGGGGGTGGAGTCTAGGACTTTCTTGACAGAGCTGGTATTAAACCAAGATCCTCTTATCTCTGCTTCCTGAGTAGCCAGGACTGTAAGAGTTCCCAAACACTACGTGAAAGTATTTTCTATTTGGAAAATGTAGAAAGCCATGAGTTATTAGAAATGATATTCAGATTTCCAACCATAGAATCCAAATATGTTTTGAAACCCTCTTCCAGAACTCCTAATTTTATCCATAGGCATCAGACAGTGTCAGTTTACATTTGAAGCAACTATTACTAAGGTCTGATTACTTCAGGAAATCACTCATCTCATGCTTAGATACTTTCTTTACATAGCACTTTCAAATAATTGATAACAGAAATATTCTCTGAAATAAGTCTGCAGTATTGCTAAGTACAAGGAATTTTTCTAATTAAAGAAATTCATATTAATAATGCAAAACCTTGTAAGTTTCATATTTATTTAAATTTTAATTTATCTTTTTGTGTCAGTACTAGGATTTGAACTCAGACCCTTGCATTCTTGTTTAGCTTTTTCATTCAAGGTTGGTGCTCTACCACGTGAGTCATATCTCTACTGCCATATTGATCAAATTTTTTATTTTTTGTTTTTGTTTTTTTTTTTCTTTCCAGGGCTGAGGACCGAACTCAGGGCCTTGCGCACACTAGGCGGGCGCCCTTCCGCTGGGCTAAACCCCCAGCCCCCATATTAATCAAATTTTTAAAATAGTGATTTCAAAGAGAAACTACACTATGCTGGAATAAACCCTCTGGCAATATTCTAAAGATAAATTTATCAGATTGAAATCAAATGCCAACTAAGTAGCAAACATAAGCTAATCAAGAGGTGAAATTTCACAATGATTATGTTAACAAACTCCTCAGTGAGTTGTTAGCAGTATGAATCCCTGTCTCCACTTGCATGGATGACACTTGTTAATAATAATTCAAAATCATTTTAAACCAAGTTTTCCATAGGGTTTGCTGAATCAAAAACTAATCAATATCTTTTTGGCAAAGGAAGTTGTGGAAAAACGCAATTAAAAAAAAACAAACGTTCTTGCCACTTCACAGAAAGTAATCTCAGGCAGAAAATACCACTGTGGCTTGGCCAAGTGGAGATCTAAAATAAAAAACTCAGGCCAAGCAAGAAATCTCAGGGGAAGAAGGAATCCTGGGTGGTACCCTGTTCTTTTACACCATCTCGTGGTTTTCAGAAATGGCCCATTTCATTTTTTAGGTAGCAAAACATTCAATTGAGTGGCCAGGTAGGAAACTTTGAGAGCCAGGGAAGACAAGGGTTTAGGCTGGAGCATTCTCAAGGGGCCGGGGGTGGGAGGTAGGATGGGTATTCCAAGAACGCCTGCCTTCCAGGCAAAGCAGCTAACACTGGCGCCTGAAGCCCCAACTAGGGTCTCCGGACCCCCGTTCGTTGACTCAAGAAGCTAACACTTCACTGAATTAAGTACAGCCTGTGAGCTCAGTGCAGCTTTTCTCTGCTGGAATGGAATGCCTGTGACTTGTATTCTTTACCCACTTCAGGCAAAGGAAATGGTCCTATCAGATGCCCAGGGGGGACAGCATGTGTCTCACCATGGTGCTCCTTATTCCCATCGTACCCTGGGTTTCTGCTCAAACACGTCTTCCTCCCATAATGCTCTGGATTCCCACTCAAACGCTCCTTCCTGGGTTACAGCTCCATTTTTTCTTCTTCCCATAATTCTCTGCATTCCCGCTCACACATTTCTTCCCATAGTTCCCTGGGTTCCCATTCAACCAATGAAAAGCGCCAGCGTGCGCATGCACAAGCCATCAAGCAAATCAGCACAAAGCTGGGGAGGAGACACGGGAGGAGCCCGCTAAAGTCTGCCCTCCTGGCCAGGCGCTGGCTGCCTAACGCCTGCAATCCAAGCAGCTCTGGAGACTGGGGCCTGCAGTTCGATGCCTGCCCAGGCAGGAAAGTCCATGAGACTCTAATCTCCAATAAACTACTCAAAGTCAGACGTGGCGCTGTGGCTCCAATGGTAGAGTGCTAGCCTTAAGCAAAAAAAGCTCAGGGATATCACCAGGCCAGGCCCTGAGTTCAACCTCCAGGACAGACAGACAGACAGACAGACACACACACACACACACACACACACACACACACACACACACACACACACACACACACACACACACACACACACACACACACACCCCTACCTCCCTCTGAGGGAACTCCATTGCACTCCTTTTCTGGGGACCTTCTCTTTAGAGAATCTCCCTACTCCTGCACCTTTTGTTTTCAAAACCTTGTTCTTCTGCTTTAAATACCTTCCTTCCTACCTTCTAAAATCTTTAATGGGTGAAGAAAAGGAGCCCCACCCTTAGATCTAGACAGCACACCCTTCCCTGTACCTGAGTTATTTATCCCACAACACAAAGGCCGGTGACATCAGCGATCTGTGGGTGCATTGTCCCAGACTGCAAGCTAGCCACCAGTATGAAGACAAAGGGACCTGACTCACAGTCTATTAACTGATTTACTTTTAGTTAGAGTTAAGATAAGATTCGATCAGTTTAGAATTTTATTTCTTGGGAGCTGTGCATTTTGTCCCATATCTAGATTTTAATCTTAAGTAAAGGAAAAAAATGGGGGTGGGGAGGATATTTACTGTTCCTTGTTCTTCTTCCTTTCATTGCTTGGAAGATAAGCATTTTCCAATTGGCGATTAGAATGCCCAGTTTGTAGGTTCCAGATTACAACCAAGTGGCACCAGTAGAATTTTTGAACACAAAATGAATTTCTGTTTGACTTTTTCAGTACCTACTGAACAAATCCAGTTAATATTACTATGCTGCATCTGTGTTAATTACATGCTTATGTCTGCAGAAAAGGTGAAAGCTACACATTCCTGTTTACAAATAAAGAAAATAGAATGCATTCCCAATAACCTGAGGGAACTGCTTTCATCTGCTTCTAGGGGTTTTGTCTGGCAGAAGAACAAGAAGGAAAACTGGCAATAAAATCAAAGGAGGGCATTATAATACTCAAGGAAAAGGTAGCTGGCTAACTGCAGAGCTGAGCACCCACCATATATAAGGAAGAGGAAAGAACTGTCTTTGGATAACTTCAAAACCCATGCAGAAAACCGCACAGCTAGCACTTTGAAGCCTAACTCATCCCCTTCTGGGCAAACCCTACTGCATAAGTACCATCACAGCAAATCTTTCTCCTGTCTTTAATACAGCCCAGCGTTTACAGCCAAGACCTTTCTAAACCAACCAAAGCCTCTTAGTTTAGTTCTCACTTTCTGCTGATGAGAAGAACCACCTGAAAAGGCAAAGCACAAACTCCAAATAAATGCAGAACTAGAATCCAGGAGCTGAGGACATAGCCTATCCATTCCCTTGACCAGTGAGCTATGAATCAATCTGTTTGAAGACTCAAATTAGCTTCAAATATACATGTCAAGTTGATATTTTATAAAGTTATAATTTATAGTATAAATTACAATTAAATTATTAATTATATAATATACAAATATAGTTTCTAATGAAAATAATGCTATGATTATAATCTAAGTATAAATGTATCATATACATGTAATTTTTATATAAAAATAATCTTATGTAATTATAATTATATAAGTTTCAAGTTTATAACTTATATAATTACTATTATAATTTATAGTATACATACACATGTACTATAATATGTATTATATAGTTATATACTATGACATAAATGTACATATAAATATAACTATAAAAAACAAATGTGCAAATATCTTATACACATATGTGCTTCTACATATGTATATATGTGTATATATACATACATATGTATATATGTGTATATATACATACATATGTATATATGTGTATATATACATATATACAGCCACTGCTTTGTGTGTGTGTGTGTGTGTGTGTGTGTATGTGTGTAAAAATAACCTTGTATGCTTCGGGAAGATGGGATTTTAAATATTTCTCACAATTACTGAAGGAAATCTAGCCTTCAGGCAAGATTAAATTTACCATGAAAAGAAAAAAAATAATGTTAGAGAATTAAAGTACATCAGATTGTATCCTATATTTGAATCATTTGGGAGAATTCAGTTGGTAGAAAAATATCTCAGTAACCATCAGAACAAGGAGAGTAATGTATTCAGTAAGTGGCCAGTGAGGTTTTTCTCCCCCAAAGGAAATGTTCAGAAATGAGATTTCTAAAGACAACAGGGCTTAACTTTGAAGAAGTTTTTATGACTGGAAAAGTAATTAAATTGAACATTTCAGAAATGTCAATGTTTCTTTAGTCAACATCATAATCTAAGCTGTAATCATGCACAAAGGAAAAAAAGACTCAACTCACCAAGTAGTTTTTCCTAAACCCAAAAGAAATGGTACAAGGACATTCCCGGGGCAGGCAGAAAAGTAAGAGAAATGCAAGGTTATTGCATATGGGGATTCGTACAATTCAAACAACTTTTCCCTAAAGAAAAGTCATGCAGGTGCATGACTTCAGAGAAGAAAACTGGAGGTTGCATTCCCAGTATCCACAAACAAGGTGCTTAGCCATCAAGTGAACTCAACAACACTTGCTCCCAAGTCCTCCCCACCACCCCTCCCATCTCTTGAGATCCTTGGTACACCACAAAATGTTGAAAGAAAACCTTCCCGGATCACACAGCCCTGGAGGCCATATTGATCATCCAGCAGACTCTGGACCAAGCAAAGAAGGTGGCCCAGTGTGAGATGGCCACCTCTAAATAGCAAGCCAGCAGCAGACAGCGGGGGGGGGGGGGGGGGGGGGGGGGGGGGGTAGCTCTTGTCACTGACTCAGAGAAGCCGGGCACTCTCCCTCTCCCTCCTCTTCTGCTCCCATATTCATAGGATGCCATTGTCTAACCCAGAGGTGAGGTTACAACTGCACCTACTTTTAAATTCTGTCTGCATCCTGTACATATGTTCACCTTCAAGCAACACATCTGTACATTATGTACACAGAAACAGAATAACCAGGGTATTCGCACTTAGGCCCTGGATAACTGAAAGGTAGTCTTTTTAAAATACACCATTGTCAGCCAGGCATGGTAGCTCAGACCTGGCTGCTTCAGGGGGCTGAGATCGGAGGATCATGGTTCGAAGCCAGCCCAAGCAGAAAAGTCAGAGAAACTCTTGTTAACCAGCAACATGCTGGAAGTAGAAGTGTTGTTCAAGTGATAGAGCACCGGCATTGCACAAAAAAAGCCAAGGGAAAGAGTGTGGTCTTGAGTTCAAGCCCCAATGTCAGCACCAAAACAAACAAACAAAAAAAACCCCACCAAAATAACAACAAAAAGCACCCTTATTCAAAGACCTTCCTGAAGACGGAGCTCTGTGTTTCTGATGCTGTCAAACCTACTTCCTCCCACTTGTCTTCAAGCTTAATCTCAGTGGCTGTTTCTAAATCCCACTACCCTTCTCTTTTGCCTTGGATTTCTTAAGAGGTTTTTCTTTCCCTAGTTTTCCCAGGTTTCTCCATTTCACATTAAAAAACAAAACAAAACCAGGCTAATCTGAAGGGATGAAGTACATTCTCTTGTAATCTTGGAGTATTCAAACTCTGCTTCATTGTTTCCAACACTTACTATTCATTTTTCCTTTGCAGCTTAGCAATCATTGGCTATCATTCTAGAATTCTGAGAGGAGAATAGGGTTCATTCCTAGAATTAAAATCTAGCCTTTAATAGCATTTCAAATTCATTTCAATCGATCGTCATTACAAAGTCTACATTCTAGTCAATATTTTAAAAATAGAATATCCCCATAAACTGTACCATTACTATCCAATCAATTAATTTATTTTAATTCAAAGACCAACATAGACATGTATAAAAGTATCTCTGGTTGGGTGCTGATGGCTCACACCTGTAATCCTAGTCATCCAGGAGGCTGAGACTTGAGTATCGCAGTTCAAAACCAGCCCAGGCAGAAAAGAAAAAATACTTCTGGTAATAAACTCTGGCTCTCATTTGACTATTTTGTAAGTGCCCTTCAAGTCACTGAACAGTACTTACTGTTGCATGGTAGTTTCTATACATGGGCATTTTCAGTATTTTTGTCAAATAATCTTCCAGTTGTTTCTGCAATGGAAATAGAGTAAATATGGTCATGGATGGAGAGAAATGTAAACAGTAACAATAAGGAGAACATTAACTCACCTTACCTTCCTAAGTTATCCACTTATTATTAATATTGCCTTGGGCAGGGCATCCTGAACTATTTCTAAGGAACCTGGCATGATCACAGAAATTTCTTCCTGATGCTTAACTCTCAACACACTGAGTTTTCTACACCTTGTCGATAAGACTTGAACTACTTGCCTTTAATCCTTTGAGACCATTAAAATGAGACTTTCCCAACAACAAGGAGTTTTAAGGCATTTTACTCCAAACTCATACATTTACAATCCTAACATTCAATTTATTGGAGGATACATTATAATTTCTAAATACTATCTAAGGAAAAACAAAACACAAAAACGGAGTCAGGTGCCAGTGGCTCATACCTGTAATCCTAGTTCTCAGGAGGCTGAGATCTGAGAATCAAGGATCAGAGTCAGCTCAAGTAAACAAATTTGAAAGGCTCTTATTTCCAATTAACCAGTAAAAAGTCAGAAAAGGAAGTATGGCTCAAGTGGTAGAACACCAGCCTTGAACCAAAGGAAATTAAGAGTTCAAGGCCCTGAGTTCAAGTACCAGTGTGGAACACACACACACACACACACACACACACACACACACACACACACACACATACACACACACACACGTCTCTACCTTAATATTTGATATCAGAGTACAACTCACTAGAAAGTCTTCTTTTTCTTTGAATATCTTCCCTTTCTCCCCTGTGTGTGTGTGTGTGTGTGTGTGTGTGTGTGTGTGTGTGTGTGTGTGTGTGTGTGTGTGTGTGTGTGTGTGTAGTGGGAATTAACAGTGAAACCAAATCCTGTACCTTTTCCATCAGTCTCAAAGGGTTAACTACCACAGCCATCTTCAGTTAGACTCATATATGTATATTCACACATGTACACATAGAAAGCCCAAACTAATCTTATATGGGCAAATCCTGCTGCACAAATAACATAATAGATCTTTCTCCTATGCCCACCATGGCCTCTTCTCAGTTTATAATTTTATATGTCTAGATTCCTTAGGAAATATTTAGTCCACATTTTAAATAAGATGACAACCACAAAGATGAAATAAAATATTCCCTCTAGAATATAAAATATTCAGAGAACAAAACAGAACTGATAAAAATGAACAAATAGTTATATATTAAGAAAAAAAAAAGTAGCTCATTCCCGTAATCCTCATTAATCAAGAGGCTGAGATCTGGAGGACTGCAGTTTGAGGCCATCCTAGGCAGAACAGTTCATTAGACTCCATCACTAGCAAAAATCTGGGCTGGAGATTTGATACAAGTGGAAGAATTCCAGCTTAACAAGCAGGAGGCTCTGATTTCAAACTCCAGCATTGGGGCTGGGGGTAGGGAAAAGGAAAGGACTTACCCTTCTGCTAAAGAAATGCTCTTCCCGGATTCCATTTTCTGATGAACGAGGCAGACTGGGCATCTCTCGAGGGCCCTCCCCTTTGACATTCTGTCTTCTAAAAGTGTGCCTGACACACAGACACACAGACACACAGACAGACAGACACACACACACACACACAATGTAATAAACATGTTCATGGCTTCATTCTGAAAAGAGCTATTTAATCAAAAATACACGTAACCATGCATTCATTATATGTCAAACATATGAAAAACACTATTCATCCAATTCTCCGATAACTTTATATGAATCCAGAAGTCCTTACCTTCTGGTGGGAATAGGGATTCGAATAAAGGCTTTGTACTTGAGCAGCTCTCGATGAAATTCTTGAAAGTGTTTGAATTTCCTCTTCACTTGCCATTTAAATTCCCCATGTGTTAATTCAATAGTGTACAGATTGGTACTAGGTACCTACAGTAATAGATTAAGAATGTTTGGCATACTAGATTTAAAATAATAACAACAAATCCCAGGGCTGGGAATGTAGCTTAGTGGTAGAGTGCTTGCCTAGCATGCATGAAGTCCTGGGTTTGATTCCTTAGTACCACATGAACAGAAAAGGCCAGAAGTGGTGCTGTGACTCAAGTGGTAGAGTGCTATCCTTAAGCAAAAGAAGCTCAGGGACAGTGCTCAGGCCCTAAGTTCAAGCTCCAGGACTAGCAAAAGAAGAAGAAGGAGAAGGAGAAGGAGAAAGAGAAGGAGAAGGAGGAGGAGGGGGGGGAGAAGGAGGAGGAGGGGGAGAAGGAGGAGGAGGGGGAGAAGGAGGAGGAGGAGGAGGAGGAGGAGGAGGAAAAGGAGGAGGAGGAGGAAAAGGATGAGGAGGAGGGAAGACGGAGGAGGAGAGAGGAAGAGGAGGAGGGAGGGGAGGGAGGGGGGAAGAGGAGGGGGGAGGGGAGGGAGGGGGGAAGAGGAGGGGGGAGGAGAAGGAGGAGGAAGTAGTTCCCAAATCTGGCACTGGTGGCTACACTTGTAATCCTAGCTATTCATGAGGCTGAGATCTGAGGATCACAAGTTTGAAACTAGTCAGGCAGGAAAGCCTATGAGACTCTCATCTCTTACTAAAAAAGCCAGAAATGGAGCTGTGGCTGAAGAGCAAGAGCACCAGACTTCATCAAAAAAGCTAAAAGTATAGTACACAGGCCCTGAGTTCAAGCCCCAGGACTGGCACAAAAGACGGGGAAAAAAAGGTGCAATATTCAAAAAGTGGGAAGAGTTAGAAGCCATGACTGACATTCAGAACTCTAGCCACTGAGGAGGCTGAGATCAGGAGGATCACAATTTGAAACCAATCCAGGCAGTAAAGTCCACAAGACTCTAGCTCCCAAATATCCAGCAAAAAGCTGGGTGGAAGTTTGACTCAAGTGATAGAGTACCAGCCAAGTAAGAAAGCTGAGAAAGCATGAGTTCTTAGTGTTGGCAACAAAAAACCAAAAACCAGAAGCGGGGAAGGGACAGGGGAAACAGGTGGAGGGAAACAAAAATGAAAATTAAATGAGAAGAAAGCAAAATCTTGAGAGATGAGGAGGACCTGGAAATGTCAAATTTAAAAGAAAACCAAAGGCAGAAAATATATTAATGTAGTAGTAATGCAGTAAATATATTTATTTGGATACAAAATAAGAAGTGCAAGCCGTTGGCGCTCTGACCTTAGTAGTAGATGTGAATCTCTCTACTTCTAAGACTTGGGCTTTGATTGGACAGCCAGTGAGATATGTCTGTATATTTGGCTCCTTAAATCCTTGAGTATTATAAACAGCAGAGAAAGGGATGCATTCTAAAAAAAAAATGAGTAAGTTATTCCAACGTATGATCATTGAATGAATCCATATGATCACCCTTTTAAGCATCATAATTGCTGAAATCAGAAAGCCTCTGAGGAGATGCTATCAGCCCAAAAAAGACAGGATTGCTGGGAATTTCAAATTGTGAAAACTTTCTCCCAGCTTTCCATACAATCACATTTACCTTCCTGAGTTTTGGGGTCACTAGGAGACACATCATATTCCACCTCCTCCCCTTCAAAATGGAGCTCCCGAGTGTCCAGATTCTCTATCAGGTTGCTCATGTCTGCTGCGATTTTCTGCAGAGCAGAGGTATTTACTCTGGACTCGTTTTTCAGCGACATTTTAACGTGAGGCCGAGCTGGAAGAAAAGAATACAGTCACACAGACTTAGATTCTGATCACGTAAAACCTTTCACACCATTCAATCCAGGCTGAACGAAAGCATGTAGAAGCCAGTCATCTCCAGTTAGCCCCAAACAACCTATCCATTGATTTTCCTGCTTTTCATTGAAAGGACTCCTAGTCAGTGAATTAAAATGGAACAGAACACTTCATCGTAAGCAAAAAAGGGAAAGAAAAAGCAGCAGCAATATTGAATAAATGCCAGCATTTCTCTAATCCAATTTTATGAACTTGAATAAATAAAAGACAAGGTACATTGATTTGGAGATGTTGATACAAAGAAAAGAAATTCCTTTTTTTTCCACTGTAATAAGTACATTAAAGATACATGCAAAAGTATTCTACATGGAAATAAGTAATTTGTGGTACTTCCTAAAGAAACTTCAGTGTGTTCCCATATTTAAATATACAGATTTAGAAATATTTTTATGATAGCATCATCTCTCTACATTTTTCTCTGTAGGTGATATCTCAAGCAGAGAAGATCACCCCTTTGAGATATAAGATCTGGGCCATGACTTGGCCTAGTATGCAATTCTGTATGTGTCTTGAAAGGAGAATGAATAATATACCTATTCCCATCCATACCCTTCCCTTTTTCAAGGGAACTAGTTCTACTTCATTTTGACATTTAATAACATGAGTTGTTGCACACCAATACCTAGGGAAGGGGAGTTCCTATAGATTTTATTTTTCACTTAAAATACTGAGATTTCAACTTTGAGCCCTGTCATCGAAGTTGGATGAAGTGTCTATGAGTAATGTAGAAATCATTTCTCTGTTACAGTCAGGCCAGAAGTTGGAAAGGCTCTCACTCAGTCATTGCTCTGCCCTAGGTCACTTGTTACCGCCAATGATGAACACACAGCGAGCATCAGCTCTGCTTGAATGATTAGAAGGTGCATAAAATGGAAATGTAAAGATGAATGAGGCCTGCTGGGAGTAAGGGACCAGAGACAGTACCCCAAGTTCATGCCTGGCCTCACCCAATGTCATGGGCATCCTGGGAATGGAATGTATATATTCAGGGGCAGATGATTAATGGAGCTTTTGGTAGCAGTACCAAAAAATGTGATGCCCTTGTAAGCATGCTACCAAGAGACTCAGGCAAAACTGAGCAGCCCACATTATAATTCAACAAGTCTTTTAAACCAACACACCATTGTGTCTGAAGAAAAGAGACCTTGTCTGGAAGTTCAAGGGTAAGTGAAATGTCTCATACCTATAATTCTAGCTACTCAGGAGGCTGAGATCTGAGGATCTCAGTTCTAATCCCAGGCCAGGCAGAAAAGTTCATAAGACTACTTATCACCAGTTAACCAGCAAAAAGCTCAATGTGGAGGTGTGGCTCAAGTGGTAGAGCACCAAAAGAGCTAAGCAAGAGCGGTCCTGAATTCAAACCCCAGTACTGGCATGCATACACATGCATACACACACGCACACACACACACACACACACAGATGAAGTGTGGTTTAGCCATATTTCATCTGGTTTAGCAAGATAACTGAACTTAATAAATCTGTTTCCTGTGAAATGTATAAGCACTTATATTTCTTTTTCCTTGTTGTCTATAAAGAAACCTAAAATATAAAATTATAGACTAGCTGGGCACTGGTGGCTCATGCCTGTAATCCTAGCTACTGAAGAGGCTGAAATCTGAGGATCCTGGTTCAAAGCCAGCCTGGGCAGAAAAGTCCATGAGACTCTTACCTCCAATAAACCACTAGAAAACCAGAAGTGGTGCTGTGGCTCAAGCGGTAGAGCACTTGCCTTGAGCTGAAGAGTGCAGGGATAGTGCCCAAGCCCAGAGTTAGCGCAGGGATAGTTAGCCCAAGCCCCATGACTGACAAAAAATAATAATTGTAGACTATATTAGCAAAACATAGGGCTAACTTTGTCTAAATCTTCCCCCCAACTACCTCACTTCTAATTTATGTTATAATAATAAATGGAGTACATTGCTTAGTTTGTACCAGGCTAGTGAAAATCCTTTATATACATCATTACATTGATCATCAGTAATAAATCTAATAAGTTTACTATTTCTCTTCTGAAGCTAGCAAGAGATGATTATTCCCTTTTTGTAGGTAAGGAAACTGAGGCACAAAGACACTAGTAACTTGATCAATGCTTTGGACAATCTATCCAAGGCCACACAACTGGTAAATGATAGAACAGGGATTTGAACCCATGTTTTACTGATTCCAAAGGCAATTCTCTCAAGCACAGTCTTTATCTTGCTATCTGATTTTTGTTGTTGCTATTATTTTGTTTGGTTCTGAGTTCTGAATTGCTGTGAAATAGAAGAAAGTGCAATGGAGAAATCTAGAAATGAATTCTCCTGCAGCTCAGTCAGCATTGAGCAAAGCCACTTCAAAGCTCAGGGTCTATATAAGATGATGCTAAGGAAATGAACCCCAAGGTAAGGACACAAGAGGTTTTATCTTTGTTGCTGTTGTTTTCAATGTACTATGTGATTTTTTTGGTTTCTTTTGTATGTTCTTCCCCCATGGTATAATCCCTGTTTTCAGGGTTGATTCTGGTGCCTTGCATCTTGTATATACATCTTTCTAATTTGGGGAGGGGAAGAGAAATAACAAAATGCTGAAATAAGGATACAGGATGACCCATTGTAACAATGAGATGTACAAGATACTATGTTGAAAATGAACTTTACAACTTTGGGGTGGGGAGGGAGGAGATGGGGAGGTGGGGAGGGAAGGGATGGTAGGGGAAAAACAAAGGAGGAAGTAACAATGCTTGATAGGAAATGCACTCATTACTTTAAACGTGTAATAGTAACCCCTCTGTAGAGTACCTTTACAATAAATATATGTATATAATTAAAAAAGAACAAAAAAGCTCAAGGTTCCCTATTGATAAATTAAGAAAATAGAGTCATTTCATTTCTAGCTTCCCTTTAGTGATAAAATCATGACCATAGTTAAAAGATTCCAGACACCTGTTCAGCTTTTTGTCTAGCTTCATTTATCTTCATTTAACCTTCTTCTATCTCAGCAAATTAATCTCAGTAGTTTTGCAATTAAATAAGGCGTGGGTAGTAGAATGTTTTCTAAACTGATCATTTAATTAGGCTCTGGTTAGTTTCTTCTGAACAAGCCATTATTTGACCATCATTAAAATATTTCTGTGTTTCCTTTTATCTTCACTCACAAAGAGACATTTGTCAGATGACAACCGAGAGCCAAAGGTTCGCTTTATTTAAAATTCAAGGTAATGAAAAGTTTAGAGGAAATGAGATAAGGAAAAGCAAAAAGGGAACATATCATGGTTGATAGCTAATTTTTAAGGTTTTAAGTATTTTAAATTGATTAAATACATGTAATAATTAACCTAGCCATCTTTCTCAGCCCAAGGAGGAGAAACAAAGGTTATTCCAAATGGCCTTCCTCTTAGACAGAGCGGCATGTTAAAAACACATGTTAGTTTTGAGGTATATGAAGATTAATATGAACTTGGGATAAATACTATAGAGCTGCTGAATCAAGCTAAAACAAATATCTTGTTTTAAGTAGAAAGGCATAATAACATGTTGAGAATGTAAAGAACAGTGAGCCAAGAAAAGAGAAAGGAAAAGAACTTCCATAATAACAGTTTCTTATTCATCATCAAGCACTTTTTATATTATGAATTATGTTAATGAATTGTCTTTTTTGGGTATCAGTATGGGGGGCTTGAACTCAGGGCCTCACATTCTCAATTATTTTGCCTAAGGCTGGTTTTCTACCATTTAAGCAACATCTCCTCTTCTGGCTTTTTACTGGTTAACTGGAGATAAGACTCTCATGCATTTGTCTGCTTAGGCTGGCTTTGAACCTAGATCTTCAGATCTCAGCCTTCTGAGTGACTAGGACTACAGATATGAGCCACAGGCACTAAGCCTTATCCTTGTAGTGTGTGTGTGTGTGTGTGTGTGTGTGTGTGTGTGTGTGTGTGTGTGTGTGTTACTGGTGATTGAACCCAGGGACTCATGAATGCAAATGTTCTACCACTTTACGTATGCACACACACATACCACATAGAGCTATTTTTTGTTTGCTTATTTGTTTTGGGTTTTGTTTTGTTTTGTTTTTATCTGGGTGCTTGTCCTGGTACTTGAACTTAGGGCCTGAGCACTATCCTTGAGCTTTTGTGCTCAAGAATGGTATTCTACCACTTTAAGCCACAAGTCAATTTCCAACTCTTTTGTTCTTGTTGTTTTGCTTGGGGGTTTATTGGAGATAAGAGTCTCACAGACCTTCCTGCCCAGGCTGGCTTTGAACCACCATCCTCAGATCTCAGCATCCTGAGTAGCTAGGATTACAAGTGTGAGCCACCCCACTGGTTACACAGACCTCTTTTAGAGAAAGTATCTGATCGACAATCTTTTCCTCAGTTGGCCTCAGACTTGACATCTTCCTTGCCCTACCTCTTGTTTAGTTGCAATTACAGGCCTGGCTTATTTAATACTCTTACAGAGTAAGAACAATGCTTACCTCATAGGTATTTTTACTCTGACAGATTTAGTTCAGTAATGTGTTCAATGACATTCACTGTATGTGCAGTTGACTAGCTCTAAAATCTTACAAACTTTGTTATAGGGGTTCACAAGTACTGATTATGTTTTATGGTCTTGAGTATATAAACTTAAGATAATCTTTTATATATGCTGATGCTCTGCAGCAATACTCAACATCCAGTCCCTTCTACTTTAATCCCATACTCATTACAATGATGGAAATACCACCGTCTAACAGCTTCCTCAGTGTTCATATGATTCATCACAGAAGGTCACGTGGAACTTCAGGAGACCCAGAAGATCAGCAGGTTGATTTGTGGGACTGTGAAGACTTACCCACCGAACCACAAAAAATGGACCAAATGATTTCTCCATCTCTACTTTCCCTGTCTCCTCTGAATTTTTACTCAACAATTCTTTTGCTGATACCACTCTT